CTCGGATTTAAAACAATTTATCTCGGTTACTATCAGAGATATGAAAAAGTTGTCAACTGATAAATTGTTTATCATATTATCACAAACATTTTATCAGTTGACACATTTTAGATATCTTGCATAGGACCCAGGAAAAACCTGCTCAAACATGCCAGTGTGTCCCTCTATTACAGGCGGGCGCCCTTCTATTACAGGCGGTGTAGTATTTTTTCGAAGATCAAGAACTCCAACTATCTCGCTCATAACCTCTCAAATTAAAATTTTTCGACCTTATTTAAAACGTAGAATTCCAGAACTTTAGAAATTTCCATCACATCGTAAGAGCAATTTCTGATAATCGAACGATTTTACGGTTGGGTAAACTCTTTGAAGGAAATCTTTTAAATCACAAGCAAATCCAGAATATGAACTTTCATTTAAGATTTTTAGGCTTAGCGCAATCAAAGTATTTAGGTAACAATTTAGAGAAAAAGGCTTTCAAATTATAATAAAGTTCAGGGGCCTCTTGATAAACTTTGGCTCCTATTCCTAGGATTGCGAGTAAGCCAAATATTCAAAGAAGCAAAAAAATGTGTATTGCATCGAAACGTAAAAATGTATATCCAGTTCTTCTTCTTCTTATATTTTTCTCTGTGACGTATGTTTGCGTTCCTGTGCCATAATCCTGGATTTACGACAGCTCATTAAATTGGCATGAAGAAGAAACAAGAAGAAAAAGAAGAAAACGATGTTCATCAAAGATGTGTGATCTCGAATCTCTCAAGAATAGCTAACAGCTGTTGGCCTTCTTCTTGTGCAAAAGTGTGTTGCGGTTGATCTGTCATCCCAACTTATCATCATTCCTGTTGTGACGTGACCGTCCGCCACCGCAAGGACATAACACTTCCTTCGAATCCCTTCAAGCGGCGTGCTATTTTTGAAATGTTTGGAAACATTTTCAGGCGTGAAGAGAAAGTTAAACAGACCTAGATTAAAAACTTTATTTATTGTAAGAGTGATTTTTATGAACGTTTTCAAACCTCAACACATATTTTTTGTTTGACCAGAACAAGACAACCAGAAGAACACAACCAGAAGGACCACTACAAATACTAGGAAAACAAAGACACCGAATTCCGAAGAGGAAGCGAAAAACCGAAGAAACTGAAGAGTCGAAGAAAAACACGCGCGCAAGAAAAGCAAAGAAACAAATCATAAAAGAAAGTTCGCAAAGTTTTGAAATCCTGATGTTCCTGATGCATCCTGATTACATCCTGATGATTTGCTCTTTGGCATCCGGAATCTAAAACTCAACTGATTAATTTTAGGAAACCTATTTTTCTGACCTAGTCGAACTTGCATGAACGTTTCTGAAATCCTTTTTCTGCGATGTTGACGGCGTATCTGTCGGGCAACCTGAAATTATCATTTTCAAAAAAATATAATTTTTCAAAACTGCTATATAAATTTCAGAAAGTTTTGATCGTTTTTCGAAAAGTTACAACTAAACCTTAAAGATGTTCTAACCTGAGAAAACTTCGAAACTTCACTGACTCCCATATCCTCACCTTTCATTCTATTTGGTCACTCCTGTCATCTGAATTCCAATCCTGTTAGTCTCGGAAGCTGTTCTCGAAATCTTGGTAGTTTCAGCATCCCGAACACCCAACAGCTCCTGGAACTTTAACTTCATTTCCTTTCTTATTTTGAACCATGAATTTTGCGCTGGATTTTTTTCACTGATTTTTTAAATTAGAAATTTTTCACATTTCGAAAATTCCGGGCAAAAAGTCGCGACTTAAGTTTTCGAAAAGTTGTTAAACAATTTATCGAAAGATTTCTTAGGACATGCTCAAAATTAAAAACCTATGAAAACAGGGTTTTCGAATTTTCAAAAAACAGAACCCGCGAATTTAAAATTTTTCTTTCCGAATCCCCATTTCCTTACCTTTCGTCACTCCTGTCGTCTGAATTCCCATCCTTCTTATCACCGTCTTGGAAGATGTCCTCCAAATCTTCGAAGTTTCTCCATCCGGAACGCCGAGCAGCTTCTGGAACACTAACATTGAAAACTAAAAATTTAATTTTCCCTTACTTTCAGCTACTCCTGTCGTCTTGATTCGAATCCTGCCAGTTCTGGAAATCGTCCTCGAAGCTGTCGTCGACGTCTTCGAAGTTGGGGTGAGGGATCTAAGAAATCAAGACCCCTAAACTTGAACGTTGTAAACTGTACTGATTTTTCGTTGTTATTATGAACCCTGGACATTGCCGCATTTTAATAGGCTATCACGGAGGCACTTTACACTGACTCTGAGTTCACGAGGAATTCGAATACCGTAAAACCTGTAATACAAGAGCCCTTAACTTTTACCTTTTAGCCAATTTATCTCGGTTACTATCAGAGATATGAAAAAGTTGTCAACTAATAAATTGTTTCTCATAATATCACAAACATTTTATCAGTTGACACAATTTTAATATCTTGTGTAGGAATTGAGATGATTGAGCTCAAACAGGACAGTGTGGGGGTCCTTCTATTACAGGTTTTACGGTAACTGTTCTGTTCTGTGACTATAGTTCTATAGAAGTTCGAATAAGCCAAAAGAAAAAAATTACACGTTCTAACCTACCAATTACTGAATTTCAGAATCTTAGAAACCCCCACAGAACTATGTCCCTCCTTTCAGAACATACAAAATCAAAATACCTAGAAAAACGTCTGGTGAAAATTGAATCAAAATATGATTTGATAAATAAGTTCAAAAATATAAACACGAAGCATTTTTTTTCTCTCCGTGCAGGTGTTTGAAAAAAGTAGACATTTGAAACTGAATTGCAGGATATAAACTATTTCCGATATTTGCCATATGTATATAACTATTTTTTTGATTTTTTGAAAACTTTGCGTATTTCTTTTTTCCACTTTTTCATAAGGTCATATTTCCGTTTTGCCTCTGTTTTGATTTCGCATCAAAACTGAAAGTTTCTCAATATTTTCTAGGAGCCAAAAAAACATCTCCCACGCTTTCTGTTTTCAGGTTTTTCTAGTTTATAGTAAAAAAAATTCAAAAATTTGAATCTCATTAAAAAAATATGAATGAGTGAAAAAAACCGTCACGGTTCGTGATAAAATCTCACTATCAGACATGTATCTCACATGCCAAAAACAAGAGTTGATGTGTGCACTGGAGCGAACTTTCTTATCCTTTAACCTTGTTACAGTGTACCCTGCTACTAGCCTAGTACTCAAGACATTTTGAGCCAAGATGTTTCACTTTTCAGAGAACAACCTTTATTTTTTAGACACAGGTGATTCGCGAACAATCCGTTACGGACGCTCAGCGTTCGCGCGCGGTTGAAATAGGAACCGCATACGGACCGCACGCGACCCGTTTTCAGAAAACCACAGCCCATTATTTCGTATTCCTCCGTATTCTATTCTTTCGCGAACTCCGTATCCGATCCGATTGCGAATGATGAACAAACCTACCCGTTCGCGAACTCAGATTCGCGAAACTGTCCGTAAAGGACCCGTTACGGATAGAAAATCTAGTGAACACCGAAACGGATCCGTCCGCATTTTACCTGTGGAATTATCTTTTGAGGTCTGGTACAAAATGTTAAGAAACATTTCACTAAATCATATGTTACACATTTGATTATAGATTTTGAAATTTGGAATTTGGAATAATTCTCTTCTGTTTATATAAACATCACCTTATTAAAAATCTTTAGTCTTTCAGATAGAATTCGTTTCAATTGGTTAAACTGAATTTTGAGAAAAAAAGCCAATTCCATTTTTCCCACGATATTCATCTGGGCGGAGTTTGTTTTGTTCTTTCTCTTTTTGCACAACACACTTTTTGATTCATTGTTGTTTTTCTCCTACTGCGAGATTGTGGAATTTGTGTTCTGGAAAAATGAACCAATTTCAGATGAAATTGCTCACAGTCGTACAGTTGGTTTATGGAATTCCCTCGTTTTTATTACTATGTTTTTTCTTTGGACTACCATTTCGTTACCGGAAAAAGTTGAGCAATCCATTTTATAGATTGTTGCAAATCGACATTTTTGTGGTGAGTTTGAAGTTAGGCTTCCATTCGGTCGGGAACTTAGCCGACCGACTGACCGCCAACCCAACCGACCAAATCTGTGCGTCAACATGACAGAGAGTGTTTGCGTACTATGCATTTTATTTTATTTTGTAGGTTACGAAATGCTGTGTACGCAAACACTCTCTGGTACGGTGCACGAATTCGGTCGACGGTCGGTCGGCGGTCGCCAATTTCCAACAGACCGAAATGGAAGCCTGAAATTCATATTTTTTCATGGAAAATGAAAAAGTTCTTTGATTTTCACATATTGGGTTACGGGCAGCCAAATTAACTTCCTTTCTGACAGAAGGCCAGCAATTTTTTTTTAAAATTTTCCTCTCCTGCTACAGTAACCCAAGCATTAGTTTCAAAATTCGAATCTACTATGAAATGTTGGTCCTTAGAAAAAATGTTGATGGATCTATAAAAGGATCTACATTTTTATCGCTACTTTCTAATACCTAAATTATATTTGAGGACCAATGTTTTTTCTAAGAACTCAAATTTCGTAGTAGAGCTCAGAGCTCTTTCCTAAACCTAGAAACCAGAGTATTTAGTATCAAAAAGTTCAAAAACTCACAATCAGTAAATGGCAGTTTCCGTCGTAGGTGGTCTCCCACAGCCATGACATACTAACCATGAAACCTCAAATTTTCTCACAATTTCTCATGTTTTCCTTCATTTTTCTTGTAGACAATGTTGCTCAAGTTGATTCAATTCAAAAAATCAAAAGAAAATGACTAGTATGTGCTTTGAATGAGATTTTCTAGAAATTCAGGAAGTTTGGAGTTCTCACTCATGTTCCCTCAAAAACATCTGCCTAGTGAAAAATTTAAGAAACAAAATATGAACTTTCGAAACTTCTAGAACATCACATGTTACATCAACACATGGATATCGTTGCGCTTGGAATCTTTCGAAACTGGGATGCGATTTTTGGTGTTTCTGGAAACTTCGATTCCTGGAGTTTTGACGCTTTCTCGAGTTTTAGTGACAGCGTAAGGGATGTTGTGATTTAAAAATCAAATATTCTTTTTTTCAGATATTTTCATATGCAAAATGTTACTGGACTTTCTCTAGTAGCTTATAGATTCACATCGGTTTTATTTTTAAGATCCGAACAGGTTAGTTTTTCCCAGAAAACAAACCTAAATCTGAGTTTTTAGTATTGGAATCGTTGGTACTTTTTGGTTCCAATTTGCGGAGTAGTCTACTCGTTTGCAGTAATTTCTCCATGGTGGCTGTTCAATAACTACACTGGAACAGTGGAAATTAGAAATGGAACTATCTATAAAAATGTGAATGAGGTGTGATTTTGAATTTCAAATATGAGCTCTTTTTTTCCTAAATTCCAGAAGGCAATGTTCACTCAAGCAACAATAAGTCCAATCTTCTCAACATTTTATTTTCTTATGATTTTGCTGATTGGAGTGTGGACAACTATGGCAATAGAGGATAGAGGAAAGAAAAGTCAATCGAGTAGACATCGTCATTTCGTCAAGAAATTGACACGAGTTATCGTTTGTAACAGCATTCTCATGTCGGGAAACTTGCTATTTTTGGTGAGCAATCAAGGAAAATAGAGCCATAAACTATATTAATACTTTCAGATTATTTTGAGTGTAATACAAATATTTTACCGACCAGCAGCATTAGTGCCGATTAAATCAGTTGTCGTCACTTTTACATCGGATATGGTAAGTAAGAAAAATGAAAATTTGAATAAAGAATATGCGATTATTTGAAGTTAGTGATTATTGCAGAAAGTCATGTTCATATTTACACATAAAAAAATATTCAAAAAAAGATTGATTTAGAAAAACGCCTCAAATAAGCCAAACGATGGCTCGTGGCTGAGTATGATTTTTCTAGCCCCCGGCCAGCTCGCGAAAATTTTGAGTTTGAATTTTTCAGAGTTTTTTTCTATCTCCAACCGTTTTCTTTTCTTACGGAATTGTTTATTTCTATAACTTTTGGATATTGTTTAAAGAAATGTCAAAAAAAATTTACCGAGGGAAACATGTTGGAAGTCGAAAAAATAACAGAAAAAATCAAATACAAAATTTTCTCGGGACTAGTAAACTCACACTCGGCCGCCATACCAATTTGCTTTTTCGATGGAATTTTCCTAATTTTAAAATTTTATTTTGGAATTTTTTCTTTATTTTTATGTGAACCTACATACCGTAAAACCTGTAATAGAAGCTACCTCAGACTGTCAAGTTTGAGCTGACTTTTCTTGGCTCCTATGCATGATATCAAAAACGGGTTAACTGATAACATGTTTGTGATATTATGATAAGCAATTTATTAGTTGACAAGTTTTGCATATCTTTGACAGGAATCGAGAAAATTGGTTCAAAGTGAAAAGCTAAGGGCTCTTCTATTACAGACCTTACGGTACTTTTCTTTGTATAAAGCGAAGCAATAAAAAATTTCCGCACACCACCTTTAACTTTGAAAAACCGCAACAACTTGTTAGAACCTACGATTGTTTGAGGTCAAAAAATGTTCTCACAATCAGCTATCATGAAAGTGTTCATTTTCATCTGATCGGTCATCTCATCATATGATAAACTGGAACATTTTTCGTAGAAAACAATGACTCATTGAAACTGTCCGATCTCCCACATGTTCTGCTTCCAATCTCTATTAATTTTCCAGGTTACCCTCCCAATGCCGTATATTCTTTTTGCCTTCGATTCCAACGTTCGACGAATTTTAAGAATTGACAAAGTGCCAAATCTGAGTGAACGGCTGAATACATATACTGCGAAAACTATAACAAACTATGCAATAAGCTAATTGAGTTTTGATTCCCATTTGATTTTCTATGTACCGATCTTCGATTCATACGATGAAGTGATATCATCAATCTATCGTCTTCTTCTTCCCAATTTTTCTGTTCTAACCCATATCACTATTTTTTGTTCTGTCTCTTCTTCTTCACTCAATCTTACCAAGTTCGGCGAGAAAGATGAAAAAAATATCGATTCCAATTTTCATTTGTCTTCTCTTCTGTTTTTGTTTCGATTAACTTTTTTTCTGTTTATTTTGAAAGAAGAGATCAATTTGAAAACCTGTTAATTTTCCCTTGTTTTCTTTTTTAGTCTTGTGACTTCTAATGTCAGTTATCATTTATAAAATCCTATTCAGGTCATCCATGTGGCATATTATTTTATTGGGAATCGTTGGGCTGGTGACGGCTGGAAGTCCTGGAACAAATGGGGATATTAATCAGCCAGAAATTCAAAAAGAGTTATTGGAAGAGGCGAAAGTGAGAGTTTCCAAAAATAAAAATTTCAGAATTAAAAGGTTTCAAAGTTAGGGATCTCTCTATTTCTCAACTTGCTAATTTTTTACCGTAAAACCTGTAGTAGAAGGGTCTCCTTAAGTTTTATTTTTGAGCCAATTTTTCTTGGTTCCTGTCAAAGTTATGAAAAAGTTTCTAACTGATAAATTCTTTATCATAATATCGCAAACATTTTATCAGTTGACACGACTTAGATATCTCTTATTGAGCTCAAAATGGACAGTGTAGGGACCCTTCTATTACAGGTTTTACGGTATATCCTGAAATTTCAAAATTAAAAAGTAAAGTGGAATTTCTAAATTCCAGAAGTTTAGGCACTCCAAATTTCGAAAGTTCTGAAACTAAAGAAGTTGAAAACTCAAGAATTTGAAAATTGAGAAATTCAAAAGATAGAAAAACTTGGACGTTTGGATTTGGAAACCTTTCTGAATTTTGAAACTCTCAAGTTTTCGAACATTTTTGAATTTTCAAATCTCTGAACTTACAAACTTTGATGTTTCGAATTTCTGGATTCCCCTATTTCTGACTTTCCAAATTCTTCAAATTCTGAAAATCTTGATTTCGAGATTTTGAATTTCGAAATTACTGAAAGTCCAAGTCTTCGAATTAGGAATTTCTGAAACTCTGAGTTTCCTGATTCCCAAATTTCCAAATATAGATCTTGAAAAATAGTCCCTGAATAAAAATGACAACATTTTTGAAAGCTTAAAGATACTGTAAGCGGACACCAGGGTTTGGTTTATGTTCGAACCGAAATTCGACGAAATTTTAAAAATTTTGCAGGTGTATCTCTTCAAATTCGGTTACATGATTCCTGATGCTCACCAACCTGTAAAATCAGTTCAGGAGCCAACAGCACAACAAGTACACGATGCCCTTGTGTATGGGTTCTCTTTTAGTCTCCACAATCAAAATTTTCATTTTTAGGCGCTTCCAATCTGCCTTCCTATACTATTCTTCCGGTACTGTTGATGTTCCAACACAAGCAAAAATGAATGAATGGAGATGTGCGAATAATGATATGGATAGAGGATCTCCTATTCCTCGTAAGCTTTGTTTTAATAGGATAAATAACAGGAATTCAATCATTTTCAGCTGCTTCCAAGAAAGAATTATGGACCAAAAAATCGCTGACTTATAAAATTGTGAACACTCCAAAAACACTATCCGAGGCACGAATCAGATCAGCAGCTCACGAGGCCTTTGCGCAATGGACCAGAGCCAGTGGATTCAAGTTCGTGGAGAGCACTGGACAAACTCCAGATATCACGATAACGTTCTATGATGTTCCACAGAGCAACTTGAGAAGTTTGAAAAAGTTTTCAGAGAATTAGGGATAAATCAATAAATTTTCAGTAGCCGGCAGTGCATCCAAACCTCTGAACAGTCATATTATTCTGGATAAGAATCAAGAGTGGGCATACAAATCACAAGCGCCAATGGGAATTTCTCTCTACCACACACTTCTTCACGAGATTGGACATGTTCTCGGTCTTCCGCACACGTTTTATAGAGGGTCCATCATGCACCCAATTTTCAAGCCAGTCCTTCTCCCATTCGGTACTTTGGACATTGTTCCGAACGTTGATCGTTTGGCTATTCGTAAAATATATGGTGAGTAATGCCCTATTACTAATAGGTGAAAACGGGAAAATCGTAAATGAACAATCATCACAATTCGGTCAAGGAAAGTTGTTGCCATGCAGTAAGGTCATTTTGATTTTGATGTTTGAAAGTTCAATTTTGAAATTGAATGTGTAAAGGATCGTATTGGGGCACATACTGTTGAAAATGCATTAAATATATGTTTTTTGAATCTAAAATTTCCCATGCGTCTTCAGTGAAAAAGCAAATTTCTCGACTTCACAGACGTTTGTTGAACAACGCTCTTTCTCTCAAAAAATTTCTTGGTTTTGTTGAAATTTGATCAATTTTTATAAATTTTGAACGAAAATACCCCCGAATTTTTGGGTGAAAATTGAAAGGCGTGGTTTTCTAATACAGGTTCTATGGTTTTTCGACTTGCAACACAATTTTTGTCCTGGGGAAAACTTTAAAATGTTACCTTCTATTACAGGGACCCTTCAATTAGAGTTGGTCCTTCTATTGTCTTGTCAATTTTTTCAAAACTTCCGTCAAAATTATAGTAAATTCAGATTCAAAAAGGCATAAAAATCTGTCAATTTGTGAGCAAAAACAAGTGTTTCAATAAACTTCTATTAAAGGGGCCCTTCTAATACATATTTTACGGTTTAAGTAATTGTCCTACAAAACCAAGAATCCGCGAAATTATGTTCTTTCGCCTTCGCTTCGTTTCAAGAGTCATTCCTGGGTTTTTTGTCCATTTCGTGAAGAACAGCTGCTTCAACTTCTGCTCTTTCCTCTTTTTCTCTCTAATCTCTCTTCCTTCCATTTCTAAAAAAAAAGAATTCATTTTTAACTCACAATCACTTCTTCATTCCGCCTCTCTATTTCTAAATGAACTGGAATTTATCTTTATTTCTTCTGGTGTCCTATAATGTCATCTGTACACTCAGTGGACCTCCAGGAATTGAAATAAATACTAACGATGTTGAGAATAACCCGAGTACTCAAGAAGAAGCATCAGAAAGAGGTTTGTCATATAAATTTTGGAATTTTAGAATCTTGGAATAATCTCTAGCTTCATTTTACTTGATTAAAAAAGGGTTTTGCCAAAGAATGTGCACTCAAAGAATCTGTGGAATCTTAGAGCTTGACCGGAAACATGTGACATGCTCACTTGTCAGATCATCTATCTTTTCAGGACTCTCGTCCATTGATCACCCATCCCCAACATCCGATGTTGCTCACTCCAAGTGCCCGAAGCATGTCGACTCGGTTGTAGCCAGTGAGTCTTTCACAGACACCTTTTTTCAGGAAACACAATTCATAATTCCAGTTAACGACCAAGAATGGCTCCTATTCCGTGAAAACAAAGTGTACAAACTGGAAAACAGAAAGTTCGTCGACTCTGGCCGTCCGATCCAACAAGTCTTCCCACGTGGACCTCAATTCGTGAATGCTACAGTTTCATCTGGTCAATTGACTCTTCTGTTTGTTGAGAGAACGATCTATGGATACGAGTTCGATGGAATACAATTCACGTCAGTTTGAAAACAAGGGCCCAGTATCCAAGGGTATATCGAAAAGGGTTTTCATAGTTCTTCGGGTACATTGGTTCCAGGGGTACATGATTTTGTGATACATGTGGGAGGACGAAAAAAAAGTTTACAGTCGCTAAAGCTTTTTGCTCGAAATTATAGGCTCACGCTAAAACACCCTAGAACCCAATATCCAATATGCCTTCTTAACCAACGTACCCTGTAAGAGCTCGATGTACCATTGATGCATTCTTTTTTGATGTACCTTTGGATCCTGGACCGAAAAAAGGCTAATAAAGCATCAATAATTGTTTTCAGAGAGGCTCAAAACTATCCAAAGGAGCTTCATGATCGTGTACTGTTCTATCCACAAGGGGCGTTCCCATTAAACAATGGAAGTGTTATTCTCTTGTCTGTAAGTTTTTTTTGTCTAGCTGAAAATATCAGATGATCTACGATACAATTTCAGGGAAACGTGTTCGCCACCTACAATGTAAACCAAAACGCTCCATCATTCCTAAACGATAAGAACCGCTACTTCCCTAATCTTCCAGACGACGTTAGAAGTGGTATCGAGAAACGTCAAGGATCCACAGATGAATACTACATGTTTGATGAGGCTACAGTAAGCGTTTCAACAGGCTAAAGCCTCAAATAATTACGACTTTTCAGGTCTCGGACTACGATATGAATTCGAAGCAGGTCATCCAGCTGGAGAACATTCCGGACTTCTTGAAGTGTGTCTAAGCAATGTATATAAATGCACAAAGTTTGAATAATACGTACTACTAATAACGTTTTATTATTACACCAATAAACTTTTTTTGAATGTTATCTCTCTATAGTACTTGGATGATAGCATTCGATTGAAGCCACTCTATTCAAAGTTCTCTGCATTATCTGAATTCGATGTTCATGTCTTCTCGGCCTTCCCGATTCAGCAGTTGCAAATATTGATGGTTCTCGACTCGACGCTGGAGCAGATACGATGGCTTCTTCTTGCTGAGCAATCTCTATTTCATCATCCAAATTCAGATCACATTCGTCTTCCGAAGCGATATCACTGATAGTATTCAACTCGTTTTCACCGGGGAACATGAGCTCTTCTGCTGCATTTTCGAACACAAAATTAGATTCCGCTGATCGCTGACTCTTTGTTTTTTCGCCGATTTTCTTTTCAGCAGCTACAAAAAATAATCTTGTTTTTCTTGTTTTGGTGATGTCGTAAAGAAAAAAGAAAGAAAAAACAAGCAAATCTCTTACCAAAAAACGTTCCGATTCTATCTGAATTTTGGCGTCGGTAAAAAATATAAAAGGAAAGAAGAATGCAGGTGCTGAAGATTTGGATGAAAAATAAGAGGGTGTCTCGGATAAGGGATGGATCGAATAGGTTCAATAAGAGGTTTCCGATATAGAAAATTCGGATGAAATGATCGAAAAAGAACTTGAATAGCATTGTGAAATATATGAATAGTTTTCCAAAAGCATTGTAGGTCCCGCATTTCATAAATGCTACACATTTTTCGCGGAATAGAATCACTGAAAAAAGAAATCTAGAGATACCGTAAGGTCTGTAATAAAAGGTCCCTTAATTTTTAAATTTGAGTCGATTGATTTCGGTTCCTGTGAGAGATATCAAAAAGAGGTCAACTGATAAAATGGTTGACAATTTTTTGATATCTTTCATAGAAATCGAGATAATTGATCTCAAAGTGTACATAGAGATTGAGATTTAAGCATAGGTGCAACGGGCCGGGCCGAAAAAGGAATAGCCAGGGTATGCATTCTACCGTCACGGTGTACAACGCTTAATGTCACTCTGCGTGCAGCTGTCGTCCTCGCCTTTATGTATGCAATCGGGCTACCGTTTTTTCTTTCCCGCGTGGCTCAGTCGGTAGCGGCGCCGCACCCGGAATCCTCGCCCCCATAAGTTCGACTCCTCGAGGGGCATATTTGAACGGAATTTCGAGAACATTATTTTTTTCATGTCCCCCCCCCCCCTTTAAAGGGCCGGACCGAGATTTTGCAACTATGGCTTCAAGCTTCCATTTCGGATGGTCGAAAATCGGCGACCGCGGACCGATCGCCGACCCAGACGACCGATTTGGTGCTTTTGCGGATCAGTCTGCCAGAGAGTGTTTGCGTTCATTAAAAAAAAACCAGAAAACCCACACTCTCCGGCATGTTGACGCGCAAATGCACAAATTCGGACAGTGCGGTCGGTCGGTCTAAATTTTCCGAACGAATGGAAGCCCCAATCATAGTGTTCTCTTTAAAAAACTCACTTGAGATCACATGTAGTGCAACAACGGTTGTTAGATAACACATTGGATTCTGAAATCTCCTCTTTTATTCATTTTCGTTCATTTCCTTTCCTTTTTTTTTTGAACTCACCTCAATAACAATCAAGAGAACCATGGCAACAATAACTGAAATCAAATTGAGCGCCGAAAATTGAATTATAACCTTGATTGGGAGTTTGAAGTCTCCATAAAATGTTGAGTAAATTATAAAGTTAGACATGATGACGTAGAATACTTCAATCGCACAAACGATTCGTAGATTAATATTTTCGGGGAAACTGGAGAAACGCTGGAACAAATTGTGATTTTTGATATTTTCTATAGCTGGTCGAAAACTTACCTCAACACCCTCGAACATAAAATAGTCCATGAATATTTTGACAGTGAGAAAAAGGATAACCACTACTGGTTGAGAATAGTATTTTCTCTGAGCAATAACTACAGTAATACGGATAATTAACAAAATCGAAGTTAAAATTGGAGACCAATTGGAATAGACAGCATCATTCCAGGGTATTGAAGAAGATATTGATGAGGTTTGCAACATTTTTATTCTGGAAAATTGATCAGTGAGTCGTGATAGAAAACGGAGACGGAAGAGGCAGACGGAAAAAAATTTGGAAAAAAAGGACATTTAAAGAAAATCTTCGAATAGAATTGAACCCTCTTCTACCGTAAAACCTGTAATGAAAGGGCCCCCTCACTGTCAAGTTTGAGCTCAATTATCTCGGTTCCAGTGCTAGTTATCAAAAATCTGTCAACTGATAAAATATTGGTATTTGGATAATACGACAAACATTTTATTAGTTGACATACTTTTGATATCTTGCATAGCAATTAAGATAATTGAGCTCGAAGTTCAAATATATTAGTAAGGAGTTATTTTCTCCAGACTTCAAAAATTTTTGAGAAAAAACTTCCAGACGATTTTTCCTATGGCCAGAATTCACAATCGAATAATAGTCGCAATTTCCATTCCTGATAACTAACGTCATTCAGAATTTTGTTCATTTCGAGCAATCGAACTTTTGGATTCAATGTTATTTTTTGGAAAAAACCAACGCCTCCTATTTTTTCGTTATCACCTGATTATTTTATTCCTAGAAATAGTCTACCCAAACCGGTTAAAATTCTTGAACTAACTTTTGAAAAAAATTAAGTTATGCATAAGTTAGAGAGCTGTACTTGTAGACAAAAAAGTTTACCAAAAATGACAAGTTTCCAAGAACAGAGTTTGTGTTTTCCAACCAAAAAAAGAGGCATGAAAAGAAAGAGATCTCTTAATGAGAATTCCCGTTGAAAAACAAAAAAAATCCCCTTGGTGGTGAACACAAACACTAGACGTTTAGTTTCCGGCTTTGTCTGTGAGCACTTCGAAGAATATTACAGACAGAAGGAAATTGGAATTGTATAGGAGTAAATCACGAGTAATTACGAATGCACAAAAATCCAATCTATGATCAATTAGTTCATCAATCAGATGAATGGGTTCAAATGACGTGGCTTCTTTCAGAGATGTATTCTCACTTCACGAGGTGCTAACTGGCTCTTTATCTGGAGGACAGCTAGAAAGTAGAAGAGGTGAAAAAGAGTTGAAGAAAACCGGTGATTATTGCTCGATATACACATACACAGCAGCAGAAGGAGACCCAAATTTGGCAGTTTTACATGTTCACCTGTCTATCTGGAGAGCTATTTTGTTCTATAGATAGAACGACGACGACGTTGATAAGGAACTGATTATATTTTAAATTTGAGATGATCAAATTTGGTCGAAAGTCTGACTAGTCTGATAGTGACTAGGTTTAGTTAGAGAAACTTTCAATAATGGAATTCCGAATTATCACGAAGCGATTCTAAGGGCAACTGACATTTTTGATTTTGAAGGAGAATGATTATAGTGTGCATTGAGAAATAAAGTTCAAAATGGAATATGTATAAGTTTTTCGAAGTATGATTTCAAAATTGGGTCTCAGTGGAAAAGAATTTTACCTGAAAAAGAGAAATTCTGTAATAACTTCGAATGCCCTTAGGAATACAAGGAACTCTTGGTTAAATTCTTGTTCAGGAAATTAGACTTTAGTTTATTCGCAGGGAGTTCTCCGTAAACGTGTGGCGCCCAAGTTTTCGGACGCTTTTCCATAATTAGAAAGGTGTTTTCCAAAGCCTAAAATATGAAACCAAAACCGCAATATTCTGGAAAATTTTCGTTGATTTCTAGGACATTTTGGAGAAGTTCAGTACACAATTTCTAATTTTAGGACCCCCCCCCCCCTCCAATCCTACAGTTAACCCATAACTGGGACAAGACCGGCATTCACTTGCAAGTAGTCACCTTGGCAAAACTCCCTTGTCCTATCAAACATTAGGGAATCCGGCAAGCAAATGAAAACCAATGGAATCTTGGCTTACCCTGCATTCAAAATGTCTCGATAGAAGTTCGTTGCATATTTCAAAGTCTGGAAAAGACTTTCACCTTTAAATTATCTACAGAATTCTGAATATCCGAAGATCTAAGTCAAACCAAAATTCCCGAACAAAAAAAGTAATAAAGTGAAAACAAATAATGATAACTGAGAAAGTAATGATTGTCTGCTATAGCTCCTTCTTCTGTTTCTCCGCCTCCATTTCCGCTTGTTTTCGCCGTTGTGCCCTTCGGGAATTGATGAACTTTGGATGGGCTCTCACATGATCTACCATCTGAAGTTTGTATTTTTGGTAAATAGGAAAGTTCGAATGTATTGAGTAAGCACTACTTACAGATTTCACTTGTTCCCGGAATTCGATTGGATCCACATGGTAGTTGGCGAATTTCAGATGTTTTTCGCCGCTTTGAGGATGCTTTCCTTCTTCATCGGAACGGATTAGATGGATCTGAAGCTTTGAAAAATAGATATCAGAATAGGAACTATACAATAATTACTTTCTCTTCAGGCCAAGTGAAATACTTGACTCCTCTCAAACGAGCCAAGTCTGAATAGCATCCTGGATCTCCACAGTTGTAACTGAAAATTGAAGACTAAATTAACAAAACAATCTTCAATCTCACATTTCAAAAATTGCAGCCCAATCTGGGAGAAACAGGAGATGTGTGAGTCCTGCTCCATGCATACCAATAAAAATATCAGTTTGTGAAGTGGTGTTCAACTGCCGCAAGAATGGTATACGTCTGGAAAGAAACCACTTGAATTTCACTGGAAGCACTCAACCTTTGAACTCACTCATTATAATCAACAACTCGAGTTGTCACATTTGGCAAGTGTCCAAGTGATTTGAGAAGCTGAAATGGAGACACTTTATGACAACTGATATGTGGTTTCCTCGTGATTCCGGTGCCAGTCGGTATCAGGTTTCTGTTCCCCCCAATAAAAAGTAGTATTACTACGTTCGTTCGCCTTTCTTTTTCTCTCTTCAATTTTCCAACGTTATGATTATATTCGAGAGGCCATTCAATTGCACAAGATCGCCACTTCGTTTACACTTGTTCCTCCCTTTCTCTATCAATCTGTCAGTTGAGATCATCGCCCGGAGAGAATATGTTCATCAGCTCACATTTTGTTGTTTAGTCTTATTCAAAGAAATCCTTTTCTTTTCAAAATGTCTGGTTTTTGGTATTTTCTCCTTTAAAATCACGACTAACATGCAATTTTAAATCCCAAGATACATTTTTTATTTTACTAAAGAGTAATCAAAAAATCAATTGATTGAAAGACTTTTCAGACTGGTCCCAATTCAATTTTTAAGAAAGTTCTCGCATACCGTAAAGCCTGCAATAGATGATCCCTCCAACTTTTAACTTTGAGCCAATTTATCTCGGTCCCTGTCAAAGATACAAAAAAGTTGCCAACTGATAAAATGTTCATCATAATATCAGAAATCTTTTCTCAGTGAACACATTTTTTATATCTTGCATAAAATTTTGACATAATTGAGCTCAAACAAGTTAGGGGCCCTTTTAATACAGGTTTTTCGGTACTTGTAAATCTTAAGCTGAATACAGTACTGGAAATATGAAGCTCGATATTTACATTTATTTTTTAGAGTTTTTCATAAGAATCTAGAAACAGTAACCCAAATTTTCCGGCATTTGGTATGCATCATTTTTTGATTATAAATTCTGCGTACTGTTTGGAATCGTATCTCTGCAATTTAAAAGCTTTTTTAATCACCGTGTTTACTCTAATAAAAGCCCATCCAAACCTTTAACTTTGAGCTCAATTATCTCGATTACTGTGAAAGGTAGCAAAATTTTGTCAGCTGATAAATTATTTATCATAATATCACCAAAATTTTATCAGTTGACAAATTCTTGACATCTTTTACGGAAATCGGGATAATTTAGCTCAAAGATAACCGAGATTTTTCTAAATCTCAATTTTTGAAATGTAACGCTGTTTTTACGAAAGCTGTTTTTGTCCACAACTGCAAAAAAAGTTATTTAAGTTTGTTAGCATTTGATTATTCTGTAACTTGAGAGCAGATTTCGATTCGATCCATGTTGAAAATAAGATTTCCACTGTAGACTACCCTAATTCCTTTATATAGAAGCCCACACAAACCGTTAGCATTGAGCTTAATTATCTCAATTTTTATAAAAGATACCAAAAATGTGTTGATTGTTAAAATATTGGTGTGATTAGGATAAAAAATTATCAATTGACAAATTTTTGATATCTTTCACAGGAATCAAAATATTCGGGTTCAAAATTGATTATTCGGGTTGGCTTCTATTAGAGCAAATATGGTATTTTGCAACTTTAGAGTTGATCCCAATTCGATCCATTTGAAAACAAGATTTGAAAACTGAATTTTTCGGTAATTTAGAAATTAATTTTAGTCAATTTTTATCAGTTTCAAAACAATTGAATTTCAGAAATTTTTAGGAATCGGACAGCTCAGTAGGTTAGCAGATAAATGTAGAACACGGTCAAAGTGTTTTTCTGATCCCATCTTACTTCCTCTGTCAGCCATAACTCTTTTTTCACTCACTCCCTCTCTCACTCTCTCTCTCTCTCTCATGATCGATAGCTTACATATCAGATGCTTCTGGCAGAGCCAATTTTTCATTTCTCCCCCTCTCTGATCCCCATCAACTCCGACTAGCCCCAATGAAACCCACAAGACAGACACCAAGAGCAATGCAAAAACCGATGAGATCCATTTTCTAAATGATGCACTCACTGAGACGTGCTTTCAATTTTACAACAACATACAGAATATAAGCCAGGGGACCCATGAGAATGTGAGAAGATGCATTTTTGAGTCGTCTCTTTTTTTTCCTACTCCGACTCAAAACACTTCCCTATCTTCTCAAAAAATCAGAACTTTTCTCCTCTCTTTCTAATTCAATAATGGCGGCACCTGTGCCGTTTCGAATCGATCAAACAAAGGTATGTAACTTCATGATCTCATCAAAAAGCATTCCCTACTCCCTATTTAATGGTCCCGAGAGTGATCATAAACTCGACGATTCGATGACATGTGTCGTGCCTTTGACTATCATTTCCGCTCTCTTTTCATCCGTTCTTCTTTCTCTTTCTTTCTTTTTTCTATCATAGTGAGGAGCATTTAATAGAAAAATAGAAAGTAACAATAAACAAAATCATTAAAACTGATTTCTTTGCAGCCAATGCCCAATTTTCCGCCCACTGTCTACTATCGAGATACCTATGGATTCGATGATCGACCCAGTGAATCAGATAATGATAGTATTACCACAAAATCAACAGGTTTGGTGTTTCTCCTAAAATACCCATTTAGTTTTATTTATTTTTAGTAACCGTACGAACGACGTACAACATAAATCCGGGCGGTGGCGGCGGAATGGCTATTAATCCCACATATCAACACATTCAGAATCGAAACGGGAATAATGGTGATGCTTCGAAAATTATGAACTATTCACATGTCTCCAATTCGTTTCATGTAAGTCTACGTTTTTTGTTTGAGGTGGTGCATAATTACCTGGACTCAAGTTTGTACTAACACAAAATTTTATTAAAGCGCTGTATTAGGTTCAAATTTGGAGTGCAAAATTCAGAAAATTCATCAGTATTGTCGAATTAAAAAAAGTAGGACCTGAGAATTTGAAAGGCGTAGCTTTTTTTGATCTAGGAAAAAGTGCGGCAAAAAAAAAATAATATTTCAGAATTTCGTCTTGTTCAAGCTACTTTCGCAATTAAGTTAGGTTTTTCGATGAAGAGCAGATTTTAGAGATGCTAGCGATCATTTTCACACCAAGAAATCTAAATTTTGTCCCGAAAATTCAACTGAATTCACAGAAATAAGTTTCGTTTACTACTGTAGTGATTTTGAGGCAAGGCCTCGAAAATTGACCGGGAAGCCGCCGCGAAATTTTCAAGGTCCCACTTTTTTTAATTCGACAATAAACTGGTCAAAATGCAATTTATTAGATCAACTTTGAGCTGAGTTTTTGCTTGTCGAAATTGCATAATCTCATGAAAATCACAAGAAACATTACGCCGTTCATTTTTAGACAATCAAAACAAAACCTAGATTTGAGGAATCGCTTTGAAAATTTCAGCCGCTTTGAATCAAACGTAAAAATATACTTCTACCGATTTTCGAGCTTTCAAGATACTCATGCCTAAGGATATATCATAAAACCATTATTAGAAAGGCCGGACCTTCTATTTTTCCAAAGTACCTCCGCCTTTCTAAGGTACTTACTTCCAAAAATATAGCCAGATGTTGAGTATGAAAATAGTATTTCATCAACATTTCTGTGAAATTATGAGATTTTTAGACTATTTTTCACTGAAATCGGATGGAAATGGGAGCCCTTGTATTTTTCCAAACTTCTTTCGGAAGGTCCTCCTATTAGAGGGGGGGGGGGTCTAATACAGGTTTCACGGTACCCGGTTTTATTGGAGTGGGTAGTTGTGAGCCACCTTGTAACAAGAATTGATCTTCAGGTCGAGCAACTAGTGACATCAAAAATTCTGACACCGAATCCCAGAACAATATTGATATGTGTGTTGATTGCAGCAGCCAGTGCAATCCAATTGGTACAGTTCGACATTTACAAAAAAAACAATACAACATAGTTTCAGATGATCTTCGCAATGATCGCAGTTTTCTACGATGGACCGTTTCCATGGCCAATCTTGTTGTGTTTTCTGATGCTTTGTAACTGTTTGGTCATTTTTATTTTCATTAGATGTCTACCCACGAGAGGGTGGCTGGTAAGAGTGAAAAAGTTTCTAGAGCAATAATAGTTTTTTTTTTCAGATTGCAAGTCTGATTGCTGCTGCTCTATCGTTTATTGAATGTACGAGTCTATTCTTTTGGACCGCGCTGCTTATCAGTGATGAAGAAAAATATCTGGAAAGTGTTGGTGCCAACGATAACCGGATTGTAACGAGTACTCGAATTGCGATGTATATGTGTCAGATGCTATTCGCACCTATTCACTGTAAGTTTTTTTCCTAATTAGAGCGATTGAATAAAACTGATTTCAGTGATAGCATGTGGTTTGATAATTTGGAAGCTACGAACTCAACTATCTCCATCCGACGAGATAGTCAATGGATACTTTTTGAGTGAACCGGAACTTGGTCATCAGGTGAATAAAGCGAGCTAGTTAATATCTCAAGCATTACTTTTCAGAAAATTCTGGTTCCAATTGAGCTTCGCCAAATTAGAGATCAAAGCGATGATGAAACGGAAAACGCTTCAATTGGTGTTCAGACGGGTGGATCAAGGAATAATTGAAACTTAAAAAGATACGACTCAAAGTCTTTCCCGATTTCACTTATCTCAGTTGGCTTTCAACTACAAACTCAACTATAAACGATTTACGAACTAACCTCTTTTATATTCAGAATTCGACGATAGGCAGTGGATCTTGATAGAATCACAATTCGAACTTTTTCCAATTCTGCTTTTTGAGGTTTTATACCCAATCTGAATTTCAAAATTTGCTCCTAAATTAAAAACTAACCAACCTGTGAAGTATAAACTGCGAAAATGTTTTTAATAAGGTAGATCCGGAGCATCCATAAACGAGTGGACTATTATAGAACAATCCGCTTCTCTGTCGAGCCAATAATGGCATCATAACGTTTTTGAAGCAGACTCGTTTTTGATCTGAAAGTATATTTTCCGTAATTTCGTAGTTTAAAAATTCAAGGGACTTGCCAAATTCCTTGAGCTCAAATGGTTCGTTTCTGGAGAACGCTTTCCATGTGATACCATAGTAATGATCGTTATAACCTCCTGGATGCTGAAAGATTATAAATAGAACTGTCTTTGATTTCGAAAGTTGTATACCGTATCCCAAAGTATTATGTCAATGTCTTGATTAAAAGTTTGATTGATATGAAGCGAGGCATATAGATTTACGAAGTCACAAAAATGGTGATATCTGAAAAAATATTAATTTTGGAACAAAAAACTTTTAGTTTTACTTACAGATTTACAGCAGCATCTAGTTTCATGACTACTGTGGGCTTCTCAAAAATGACATCACAATGCTCTTTGTCCATTTTGAAATCCAGATTAGACTTGAAATGCTGCAACTCGTCGGCCCTTGAAAACAAATACGATTTAAGAGCGCATCTTTTTTGGAACACATACCAACTCATCAGATATCCTTTCACATTCAAATTGTTATCCAGCAATTTCCTATCAAAGTTTTCACAATTGCCTTCAACTTGTCCTGGCTGAATTACATCTTGTCGGTATCGAGTAGAACTTTTGATTTTCAAATTGGAAAAATCAAAATAGATGTTTGAACCGATGCAATGTGTCAGATGATCGGAGCAGGATAAACTGGATTTGGACTGAAAACTTTGTGTTTTTTAATTTTTGAAATATTTTGAACAACTTTTTTCATCCTTTATCCACCCTAAAAGTTCTAAATGACGAATTTTCCAGTTGGACATAAACAAACAGATTAATATAATCGCGACCTATAGGTATACTATAAAAAGACCCCCCAATTCGGAAAATACAGAAATCTCAAATTTTCTACTCATCCAACAATGCTCTCTACCAGAATGACTATTCTCCTTATCATCGTTGGCCTGGTCCTTGTTGATTCAACCAACCCAACTAACCCTAGCCCTGCTCCAGCTGGAGTTGCTCAACCACTTGGAGGAGGATCTACTGGAACCAATCCAAATGGACAACCACAACACAACCCAGTCAATGCTAACAACAATGCTAATAACAAAAGTGATGTAGATGGTGCTGGAAAACCAGTTATCAATTAATTTTCAGAAACGAAACTTGTGACAGTCATTTATTATCATTGTTCATCTTTTGATAAAGTGTTAATCAGGGACTAAAGGAATACTTACCGAATCATCAGAAGAACAGATACTGTGTTTGACTAAACGGGATTCTAGATATCCAAAGTCTCCTTGTTCGTAGAACTTTTCAGCAACTTTTCTGAAACTTTTTTGATTTTCACATACATTACCAGTCAATAAGATATACAAAACATACTTGCAAGCTCAGGGCTCGGCGGGCCCGGGTTCTCCGAACTTGGAAAAAATTTTGAAATTTCAGAAATTTTTTCAAATTTTTTTTTTGTGAAAAACGATTTTTATTGACAATCTATTTTTGAAAAGTTTTTTACTTGTTAGAAAAATCGTCCATTTTTTTCTGTTGACCCCGAAAAATTTTCGAAAAGACAGGAAAATTGTTTCTGAAAACCCGGGCCGGGCCCTTAAAAATCTGAAATAAGCCCGGCCCGGCCCGTTGCAAGTATGATGCAAAACATAGTTTCAGTTGATTTTTGAAGAGTCTTAAACAGACCTAGAATGAATACTTTTCATTCGCAGAACTTTTTGTGAATTTTTGGTTTTTCAGATATTCGCCGACACCCCTTTTCAACCCGGTTTTGTACGGAAAACGTGAAAAGCAGATGTCTTTCAGAAATCGGCAAATATCTGAAAAACTAGAAATTTTAAAAACATTCTGTGAATGCAAAGTTTCCAATCTAGGTCTGTTTTATATTCTCCAAAAATTTCAAAGTGATTGGAAACTTGATAGTCGAGCTCCAATCTCCTGAAAATCGTCAAAATGGCCGAAAATAAATTGAACAATACGTTTTTGTGTATCTTATTGACATAAACCGTATAACAAACTCTGAAACACTCACGGATTCAAATTGTTGTCACAACTTGTGAACTTGCTTCTGAATCCTAACGAATTCTCATTTATACAATCATCCTCGAAGCCAAAACATTTTGAAGCGTTGAGCTGAAATACATAGAATTTTTCAAGTTTCACTTATTTCCCAAACTCACATTAATCTTACATGTCGGATCCTCACTACATCTATCTCGAAGATTCTTATTTGAAGATATATGGTATTCTAACAGCTGTCTAGGAAGATTAAGATCTTTGACCCAGGTAGATTCGCAGACAATGAAAAAATACAGTAGGATAAATGTACAGAATAATGGGGACATATTCAGAGAAAGTTTAGCTATGGCAACAGAAACATTGGGATACTAGCTCTTCAAGTATTCTTTTCAAAAGTGGGGCTCATAATAGGGAAGAGAGAAGAAGAAAAAGAAGGAAGAACTACATAGAGATACGGAAAAATGAGAGATAGGAGACACAGACGTGTCAAGGTAAGACCAAATGGAAAGATAATGGGGGTTTATGAGACGGTCACAAACCCATCTCAAGGTGATTGCCCGAGAAAAAAACACATCGAGAACGGCACATTTGCCCCATCCTATCTATTCAATTAGGGCAAATGCCTTTTTAATGGGGAAAAAGGGAAATGCCTTCGTCCTTGAATTTCTTTTTTCTTGGAATTTTTTATGGTGTTGCAAGAGTATTGTGCAGTTTTCATGTCATTTTTGAAATGTTTGTTAAAGGTGATGTGGTATTTTATTGCTTTATTTTGTTAGAAAAAAATGTAGGCAGCCATAAAAATTAAGAAAACATTCAAAAAAATCCTAAAAAGAGTAAAACCGCATAAGAAGCGGAGGATTATCCGGTGACTGGCGGCCCAGTTTCAGTTTATTCCTCGGCCAGCGAGTCTCAATGAAAGATTTTTTTGAATTGTTTCTTCATTTTTAAGTGAAGCTACATACTTTTTTAGACAATATGAAGCAATTTTAAAAAAATCACCGCACAACACCCTCCAGCAAAATTGATATGAAATTCAGTTGAAAACTTTTGTAAATTCGAGTTTTGTTAATTCTTCGAAAACCTTTTTTTACAATTGCTCGAATAGAAAATAATGTTCATTTACAAATTCAAAATACACAATTCTCAGTTATCATTAGAATTTCAAATTTAAAAATTCTAGTTTCCAGTGGTATTGACAAGTTCCGGTGCACGATAAGCCAACTGTGTCATGCTTCCCTGAAAACGAGATTTTGTTTTTTTCTCTAAATAACTAGACGCTCACATTGTATAGTTTCGCTTTGATTCACTTTTCTCCAATGCAGTAAAAATAACAGATGCCTGGATTCCAGTGTTGCATGCTAGACTTTATTTCCAGCTGTCAATCCGAGTTTCGCGATCTTCGCATCCACTTCTTCTTGACTCAAAAAACCATTTGGACCAATAACGTCAGCCATTGGAAAGTTGATAGCTCCGGTTACATGGGATCTCTTAGCTTCTGCAAATTAAAAAGCAAATAAAGTTAGTCACACCAAAAGTTCCTTACTGGTTCCTGGGTATGTGGCCGAGAGAAAGTCCAGTGAATTGGGATGGGATACGGGCATCTATGTAATCAGAATTCTTCTCGGCAAGATGGTTGAGTGGAGCATCTTCGCATTAGCCAAGATTTCAGAATTCAATGATTGGATGTCAACATTTCCGAGTTGGGGCTTCACAGTTTCTCGATTCGTTGAACCTCCAGCAGCCTTCCAAGCATCCAAACCTTTGTTAAGAAGAGTCACATTTGTGAATCCGTAGACCTGAAAGAGTAAAATTGAAAACTTTTAACACTTGACTATAAGAGTCAAAATAACAAGAGATGACTATCCTAAATAAACAAACAGTTATAGTTTCAATAATTTCCAGAGAAAAATTATGAATCATTAACTTCCATAAATCCAAAATTGTCACTGTTCTACTCTCTTCTTTTCTCTTGTTCTCTCCCAAAGTTCACAAACATTTTTTCGGGTGACTAACCACTTTTTGGATTTGCAAACATTACTGAAAAAGATCACCATCATACATTTTGCTATATAATGTTCATGGTTTCAATTGTAAATACATCAATTACTATTCATTTCAATATGATGTCTACTAAACTGGCTGTTATTTTCTTAATCTTGGGATATTCGTTGGCTGCTCCATCTAACAAACAAGAAAGAAGAGCTTCTACAACATCGAGTGCAATTGGAAATGGAAAAAATGATTTGAAAAACAATCAGATGGGATCCGTAGGTCAGAATTCACAGAATGGATTCAGACAGACTACTACTACCAGCGGACAACGTCAGATGGGATCCGGGAATGGAGGTCAAAGCGGTGATAGAAACTCCAGAAACAAAAGAGCATCTGAATCAAAGGGATTCGGTGGACAGAATAACCAAGGTAGCCGAACTAAGTTTGGTGAGTTCCAAGGGTCAATCTCGAACGAACAAACGGAATCTGATCCGATACGCAGAAAAAACAAAATGGCTTCGGAGGATTCAGGCAGACCACAGAAAGCGCACAACGTGGATTTGATTCAAATAACCAGATGGGCAGAAACAAGAACTCCAGAAGCAAAAGAGCATCTGAGACAATGAGCTTCGGTGGACCGAACGGTCAGGGAAGCCAAAATGGATTCAGCGGCTTTGGAGGATCCAGCTCAAACGGTCAGATGGGTTCTGGATTTGGTGGACAGAGTGGTCAATCAGGATTCAGTGGACAAAATGGACAAAGTGGACAATCTGGATCAAGTGAATTTGGTCAATATGGTTTCAATGGTCAAAGTGGATTTGGTGGATCTAGCTCAAGCGGTCAAATGGGATCAGAATTTGGAGGATATGGCTCAAACAATCAGGGAACATCTGGTCAAATAGGAATGTTTGGACAAAGTCAGCGATTCGGTGGACAGGAAAGTTCTTCTTCAAACAGTGGATTCGGTCAAAATGGATTCAGTGGAAGATAAATGATAAACTTAAAATCTTCTACCTCATTTGTATGTTCCTAATTTTTATTTCTTAATTTTTCTTTGCGAACGACATGAATAAAATTTTCAATACTCGAAAAAAGAGCGTCTTACTTTGAAAGTCCATTAAGCCCTGAAGCAAACATCATTCCAGAAGCAGCTCCTCTGCTGTAGATGACCACTTGATCCTTGTTATTCACTCCCAACAGACGAATGACATTCTTCAACTCGAGTAGAGAACACTTGCACATTTTATATTTGCTGAAATTCTCATAATCCGGAATTCGTAACAGAAGTTTTGTCGGAAACTGGAATACGAAATTAGGAATGAAAAAAACATTGATTCCGGATCCGGAAATCTCTGGTGTGTATATAGACAATATCGGTTGCAGTCTAAAATAATTAAAACCCTTTGTCAGAATCTTCACTGAGTTCTAACGACTCCTTCTGCAGACATGGCTCCAGACCCAACCACACGCCAGTATAATAAAGTTTCCGGCGGAAAAGTTTCAAAATTTCTTTACATAGAATCATTTTCTACAATTTTATGATTCACCAATTCGTAGGGTCGTTAACTTTTTCTCCTTATTTGTCCCTCTATTGGTCAAAAGTTCAACAAATGTAAATGTTTGCACTTGTCCAATCTTTCGAAAGTTTTCGTTTTTTGATCATCGATACAGACAAACAAACATAGCGCTCACTGCTACAGAATACGATTTCTCATTTTCAGGTTTTTTCCAAAAATAAAGGATTTCTGGGAATTTCTGAGAGCTTTGATAAATAGCAATTTCAATATTCCAGGAATCACAGGAAATCCAATTTTGCGGTCTGAATGACGCTATCAAAAAAAAACACAGAGATCTATTTTGTATTTCGTATTATAGACTTTATCAATCAAGACAACTAACTACGATTTTTAGGTTTTCATATTTTTCAGTACTTGTTCTTTCAGTTTAACTGTAAAATCGTTCCGGTCTAAAAAATCTGAAAATAAACAGATCTTTTTTTGTAATTGAGTCATTTGATCGCCATGAATAATGCAATTGTTTATGTTATCTCTGTTGGTCTAAAAATCATGGTGTTTTTTTTTCAAAATGATAACATGATCGAGCTTCCTGTGGACCGTCGATGATCTGGCGAATTCGGCTACCAAACTGAGCTCAGCTACCTCAGAGAATGCCATACTTATCTTGTCCTAAAATCATATAAAATAGAGATATTTTTAACATTTCCTACTGTGAAAAACTACAGTAGCTTGATAAGATTCTGGAGAGTAAGCAACATCTGCAAAATAAAAAATCTCTCGCATAGATTTCTGTTCCAAATTTGATCTATTTTTTTCTTTGAGAACACCTGTCCAAAAAAACCTTGACAAGTTGCCAATGACAACCAAGTGTCAACACCTGGCTTCTTATATACCACCTCCTTTGGCTCAATATTGCGCAATCTCTCTATGTCCACCTTGTTCTCATAAAGGTTCGAATGACATCAGTTATTATTTTTTGTTCCCTCTATTTGCCTTTTCCTTCTTTTCCTTCTCCATTCCTCTTCTTCCCATTTTCCCTTTTCTCTATCTGCGTCTCCTCTTCTCTCCTTTCTTCGGGGCACTCAAATTTCGAAAGTTTCCGCCATCAATGATATAAATGTTCTGCGTCTAACGCCTCTCACTTACTCACCTCCTTTTATTTAAGCCACGAATATTTTCTAGGATTTTCATTTCGCAGAACCAAAATGCGACCTCTATTTCGGAAGCTATTAATGCTAATCCATTTTGTTCTGGATGTTTCCATTACGATATGCTCACTTGGATTTTATTCTCCCGGATGGCATTTCAATCTCGATGACATCTTCAAAGCTTTCCATTTTGCTCATTACTCCTACTGGACGTCTCCATTGGATTACGTAGTTCTATGTCTTCTTCGTCAAGTTTCTCTTCTGATTGCAATCATTATCATAAGACGCGGAAAATCAAAGAAGCTCCGAAGTTGGATGTTGATTTATGATATTCTTGGAATCCTTGGGTATATGGTTGCCGTTGTGAAACTATTGGCATTTGACGAGACTGGTACAATGATGAGCTATCCAGGAATTTACATGAGCACAGGATCTGCAGTCTTCCTCACATTCTCTTTGCCATTCGCCATTCGTTATACATTATTGATTAAAGAAACTGAAGAGGTCGGATACGAGCGATTGCAGAGTGAGAGCCGAGAAAACACTAATGTGGAAAACGGTAAGATTTTCGAAATTTATAGTTTTTTCTGATCTGATTTTAAAAAACCATACAAACGGCTTTGCACTTTTTGCCATCCTATAACTTAAAAAGGACATCGTCCACTGATCAAATTTTCCAAGAAAAGGAAAGTAAAAAAAATGATAAGCATGTAATACAACGTTATCAGTTCTACACCAGACAACCATAAAAAACCAATTCTCTTTCAGGATCCACACCCGCTAACGGCACCGCTTCTGCCTCTGAATCCAACACTGAAAACAAAGAAGAAGATGACGCGGTCACAAAAGAAGAAAAAGAGAAACGACTTCCGTTGTCTAAACACCTTTGGCAAATTATGAAGTTGTGTGGAAAACAGTGGAAATGGTTCACGGCTGCTTATTCCCTTTTGCTCATTGATTGCATTTGTGAGTTTTTGGCTTTTCAGCAAAGCAAATATTCGTAATTCTTTCCAGTGAATCTTGTGGAACCAGCTCTATACAGTCAGATGATGTCAACTGCTATACAAATGAAATCTTTCGATGTTCTCAAAAGAGCTTGCCTGATTCTTGCCATCGTTCAATTCTCAGAAGCCACATGTAACACTGTCAGATATATCTGTATGCAGTACGCTGAAAGATTGACTGCTCGAAACATTCGAGTTGGACTGTTCAAGGCGATTCTACACCAGGACATTTCGTTTTTCGATGAGAATAAAACTGGGCAGCTCATGTCCAGAATCACTCACGACTCTGAATCGATCTCGAACTCTCTTCCAGTCTACATTGAAACCACTACCAATAATCTTTTCATGCTTTTCGGATCTGCTCCAATTATGTTCTATTGCTCATGGCAACTCTCAGTCAGTACTTTTATCACATTCCCAATCACTCTTCTCATGACCAAATATTACGGATTAATTGTTGAGAAATTGTCTGAAAAGGAAAATGATGCGACTGCCGTTTCAAACGAAACCGTCGAAGAAGTTCTATCCGCCATCCGAACCGTCCGATCCTTCGCCGCCGAGAAAATGGAATACATGAGATATACGAGAAACACGGATGCTTGGTTCAAAATCAGTATCAAGAGTGTTGTTTTGGGAACTTTTTATAACTATTTCTGGGCGACTATGTGGAATATTGAAGACGTAGTAGTCTATCTCTACGGCGGTTATCTCACTCTTCAAGGACGAATGGCTCCAGAATCTCTCCTAACCTACGTCTTCTACCATTGGAGACTTCACGCAGCCTTGAATGTGAGTTATTTCTCCCTAGTCTTTCTTCAACTAGTTTTTCTTTTTTTCAGGCCTTCAGTTCTCTCTTTTCCGATGTCATGAAGACGATTGGATCGTCCAGAAAAGTCATCCATATCATGAATCGTATCCCAGAATTGGATTATGAAGTTGGAACAGAAACTCCGGAAGTCGTTGGAAACATCATTTTCGAAGACGTCGAATTCGCTTACCCAACTAGGAAAACCGCAAATGTTTTGAATGGAATCAACCTTTCGATTGAGCCGGGTAAAACTGTTGCATTGGTTGGACCGAGTGGAAATGGAAAATCAACACTCGTCTCTCTAATCCAACAGTTTTATTCCCCACAATCTGGAAGAATTCTTCTGGATGGAACACCAATTCAACAAATCGATCATCATCATTATCACACGAAGATTGCTTTGGTCGCTCAAGAGCCAACTCTGTTTTCTGGAACAATTCGGGAGAATATTCTATACGGAATTGAAGATGGAACAGATGATGATATGATGAGGGTGTCTGAAATGGCAAATGTCCATGAGTTTGTATCGAAAATGGAGAAGGGATACGATACAAAATGCGGTGAAAAGGGAGTTCAAATGTCTGGAGGACAAAAACAGAGAATCGCCATTGCTCGGGCTCTCATTCGGAATCCTCGAGTATTGATTTTGGATGAAGCCACATCTGCGCTGGATGCAGAATCTGAATCGATGGTTCAGGAAGCGTTGAATCGATGTGCCAAAGAGAGAACTGTTCTAGTCATCGCCCATCGACTCTCAACTGTCCGAAGTGCCGATCGAATTGCCGTGATCGAGAAGGGAAATGTGACAGAAATGGGAAATCATGATGATCTAATGAAGAATCAGGATGGTCTCTACTACAAATTAGTTCACAAGCAGCTGAATTCATTGGGGACCAAAAAAGACGAAGAGGATGAGAAGCCAATTGTTGATTTCTTTTAGTTGTTTCAATTAATTTATTTTTTTCTTGTTGTGGGTTTTTCTTTTGCAAACCAAAATTTTCAGATTAGTCTTTAACTTTTCACCGATCTCTTGATGTTTTCAAGCATTTTACTTGTCTAATTGTGTTGTGATTCTGTTAATAAAAAGTTTCATTGATAAATAGCATAACTTAGAAAACCATGTCTTTATTTTTTATCCGCCTCTTCCATTGCTCGTGTCACATACAGATTGACCGTATCCAACAAATAGGTCATTGATGCCACATCCAGTTCGGCGCCCTTTCCAGCTAAACTGACTTCTAACTTTTGGCGTTTTGCCGGTATCTGAAAAATTTGAAATTTCTTGGAAAACAGGATAAGGATTGATTACCTCGGGTGCTTCATCTTCCAGACTGACAAGAGGCTCAGATGTAGATGGTTCGTTTTCCTCGGAAAAATCGTGGCGGATGAAGTCGACGTTTTTCTGCAAAACAATAATCTCCCCCTATTGTCTATTTGTTCTGTTTCCTACGAATGGAATCGGCATACTGTTTCTGACAACTTCCATTCCATCCTCATGTTTTCTTTGTACCAAATGTTGCCGATCGAAATGGTCCAGGCACAGATATTTGCGTCCTGTGGCCAGTATAACCTTCAAATGATTCGCGAATCCTTCATCTCCATTTGCCAACCGGTTCACACATACTTCTCTAAAAATTTAAACTGCATTTTTTATTATACTGGTGTGCAAAATCGGAGCTGTGGCAGAGAAAATCTGGTGGCCGCGGCCACAGCCGAACTACCGTAATTCGCAAGAAGGTCCGTTTTTTGGCAATTTTTCAAACTTATTAAAGGTGGGGGGAAATGAAAAAAAATGTTCTCGAAATTTCGTTTAAATATGCCTCTCGAGGAGTTGAACGTGTGGGACGAGAATTGAGGGTGCGGCGCCGCTACTGAGCTACACGGGCAAAGAGAAAGTGATCACTCGGTTGCATACATAAAGGCGAGGACGACAGCTGGTGCCCGCGCAAGTGTGATTCGTGGCTCTAGCAGACATTGGGTGCCATCCACGCTAACAAACGTGGCTCCTAATCTGAATTTTCAACAAGAACAACCAAAACTCTAAACTGTTACCCTTCTTTATGTGTTGTAATGAATAGAACAGTGTAAAATTGCGGGAAAAATATACAAATATTCAGTGAAAATCGAAGAGGATCACTGGATGATGATAATAGTAAATGCTGGGGGCTAATAAAACAAAATGAAATCGGTCACAAAGTTTTTGGGGTGCAAGGGTGTTTGGGTGAGACAAAAAGAAATAAAACAAAACAAATGGCTTAAAAATGAGACAATAAAAGGGTGGATGGAAACTATTTTGACAGATGATGATACCCATAATGGTAAAATGAGGAAGATTGTCTGAGTGATGGGGGATTTGTGGAGGTCAATAAAATACAGTCATATTCAGGGGGGAATTGTCTTGGAATTGCGACTGGGATGTGTAAAGCTGTTTTAAGTGGGATGATAGTGAATGAAACAGGGATCAACAGGGGAGTAGTTATATGAGACAATATTGAATTTTAACAAATAGCCGCTCTGGGCCATGCAATTTTAGCTTCGTGTCGCTTGTAGGCGAACATATGAGGCTTGTTTTCTTTTTTGAGTTGCTCGTGAACAAGGATTGGGCAGTCAGTTGGTGCCAGACATGACTCGAACCCTTCGGCAATCAAATATCTGAAAAATAAGTAAATAGGAACTTGAATTAGCAGAATAATTTAGAAAACTTACAATCCGTGCTCTTCTGGATTTGTGATTCCTTGCTGATGAGCTACAAGTCGGCTCAATTTCGAGGTCGTCAACATTGGAACACCTGAGAATGTGGCGTATCGAACACATCCAACGGCCTCATCTGGGACAGCGATCTTGACGAACGCATCACAAGTAGCAGCAGAGATCATCTGAACGAGACCAGCGGATGTTCCACGTGTTAAGGTAGCAGTGGAAAGAAGTGGAGACGCGCAACAATGGCGAGAAGAGTCCAGTGATACCAGGACTCGATGATCGTTCTCGCAAAGACGACGAATGGCTTCAGCGCTTTTGAGCACATGAACAGCGGACCAGAGAGATGTGAGATAGTAGGAGGCATCACTTTGGGTGACGATTGGTTGAGGAAGAAGCTCCCACATGTACCATGCTTCGACTTCACATCCAACGGTGGATGAGCGGGCAAGGATGTACACAAACCAACGGACAAGATCTGGAATCAAAATTGTATTCATTTCAAAAGGGAGAAAACTAACCATCTCCTGGTGGTAATCCTCGATGCCCACCGTTCATTGCATCTGTTGGATTCTCGTTTTCATTTCCATTGAGTTGGCACGCGAGAACCAACCCAACTGCTTTCATGAGATTCTCCAGTTTCTTCATTGGCGAGTAATGATTTTGCATCTTTCTCATGAGCAATTTCACTTGGTCCATAATCGAAACAGAAGGTGTCACAAGTGATTCAGGATTATTGAATCCAAGCTCTGTGAGATTCATTTTACGAACCAATGCTTGGTTCTGTGATATCAGTTGGAGAGCTCCTGCTTTTGAGTGCTCTTTAATCATAACATGGTAGAGAAGAGGTTTCACTTCCCGAAGTAACAACTTGTGGAGAACAGCTTCAAGAACGGCGTCAATATTCAGAATCTGATTACTGTTCAGTCTTGAACTCTCTTCGTCGATGATCCGATGCAAATCTCCTTCACCATGCTTCACCAAGTAGTTCTTCATTCCATTTATAAACTGCCGAACATTCCGTATCACAACTGCCGGATCTGTCTCTTTTGTATCTGTTGTACACTGAACGAATTGTCGAAGAGTCAATCCGAAGCATGCATTGTCTCCTTCTTTGACTTGTGCCAACTCTTCTACGTAATCCTGAACAGCTCTTCCGATTTTCTCATCGGTACTCGAGCTACGTGGAAGTGCTGCTCGTGACACACGGCCGCTGAGCAATGGAGACATCGATGGGAGTGTTGTAGGAAGGTCATCAATGGATCCGCACGAAGCAGCAGCACTCATTCCATTCATACCAATCGTATTAGAGAATCTGGATAGAGCACGTGGAAGACTTCGAATCGACATTGATCCTTCTGGCTGCCTTCGGAGAGTGCTTCCAGCAATCGAACCATTCTTTGATCTACTATCTAGCGTGTTGAATTTGGAACTTCCCGCATCCGAATCTTGCTCCCATCCTTTTACAGTAACTCGATCACTCGGCAGAGGTCTTCTCATTCTATCCGAATGCCACCGTATCTCTTCGTCTTCTACGTCATCGTCATCTTCATCTGAATCCATTTGACATGTCGAATCTCCACCAGCAGTTCTATCCGAATCAGAGTCTTCTTCTTGAATCGGTTCACTGACTTCTAGAAATAAAAATGTTGAAAAACGGTTAGCAACAAGTTCAATACTTACTCAATCCCATTGTGGATTCATCTCCATGATGAGCCAAATCGAGCAGATTTTCCCATACGTTCGAATCCCATGGCTCGTTGAAAACGGTACCAGCTACACTGACAGCATCGTCCTCGATTTTTGAATGCACATCCAAATGCATCATTCCATTCTTCTCTGTAGACGAGGCAGCGAATTCACAGAGCTGAGCATAATCACTGGAACGTCTGCAATCTGCCATCGATGGTCCGACACCTCCAACGATTGACATGTTTCGATTGTGATGCCCACGTGGTTGAGGCGTTGGGAGAACCTGGAAAAAGAATAAGAATGAAAAAATAATAAAAAAGAAGGCGTTGTTTTCTGACTGTCAAAATAAGGAGCAATTTTCGGATTGCATATATTTTGAAAAAACAAAAACAAAACTATACACTTTGCGCTATACTACAGTAGGCAAAAGAGGAAAAGTCGAGAATTTCAAAGTTTAAGAAGAAGAAGAAAACAATGAGGAAAACAACAAAATGATTGACAGTGTCGTCTGTCGTTTTGACAAAATGTGGATGGGGTAATTATACGGAGAAGAGGAGACGCCCGCGAAAAGTTCCTTCGAAGAGTGGGGTCAGGTGGGAAGTTCGAATACAGTGAGGAAGGGGATAATTCTTTTGAAATTGCGTTGTAGACTGATTGATCAGATGAAAGTAAGAAGGATTTGTCTTTTTTTCTCTCTGTTTTTGACCGTTTTTCGAAAACTTTTTCCGTCAAACTTGTCTTGTTTTATAGCCGCGCAGTAGGAAATAGGCGGCAAGCGTTTGTTGTTGACTTTATCAAGAAAAATTTATTACAATTCTCGAGAGTGAGATTCAGAAGAAAGATGCATGTCTTACCTTGGCAATCTTCTGCTGTCGATTCTTGAGCTCGTGATTCACAGCCGACCACTGGGGCGGACCCGAAGACTTGGATTGTGGTGGAGCGGAGTGTTTGGCTCTTCGCCAAACCAGCTCACTTTCCGATGGTGTTGGCGGTGGCACAAGCGATGGTGGTGTAGGAGTTCTGGAAATATATGGAATTATATATAGATCTTCTCTATAAAGATTAAATTTATTATGTTTGCAGTGTTCAATATATTTCAAAGGGAAAAAACTATGAGGAATTGATACAAAACAAAATTATTCAGGCGGTTTCAGGGATTTTCGGAACGGAATTTTTCAGAATTTTCTTCGGAATTAAATCTTTTTAGACTACAGTATGTTAAAGGCGCACGAGAAAAAGACCATTCCGAACATCCCTGAGCGTTCTTTTCAAATAAAAAATAGAATCTGACATCTAAGAAAGTCCAAATAATCCATCTTCCTCGAGCTTTCCGAATCCGGAAGCTCGGTCTATTCTATTCACAATATTGGACCCGAAAAGTAGAGATGGAAAAGTGATGAAGAGTGGGGTACATTTTCATTCATTCATTTCAACAAAATAAGAGGTCGACTAATTATGCAAATGGAACACGAAGCGGACGGCCGAGTGATGAAAAGGGAGAACCGAACGTCATGGGTGAAATGTTGACAAAAGGAAAAAAGGAAACTAGTCCAGAGAGTGAATTAACAGGAAGAAGATGGGGAGGGAGTGACCTTGTCAGCAGCACTTTCAGACACTGGTCATAAAATCGTCTGAAAGCAAATTGTAACAACGAGACTTACTCAAAAAAGGAGGCTTTTGTAGTACGAAAAGGTAAGAAGAAGAAGGGAGTGATCAATCGAAAATGACACATGGTTGGGTGAGAAAGAAATGAAGATAGATTGACAACAACTGTGTGAGGTCTTCGTTTTCTTGATTCTCTTCCTTATAATAATAAACCAATTTGTGCTGCCAATTACTCATCCCTTCTCTATCATCTGTTCTCATTTTTCTTACTTCTGACAATTGACATCCTAAACAGAGCTACACAGAAAGTGTCAAGATGGATTAGGCAACCTGCTATTTTTCTTGTGTGAGCACAGATGTTGCTCCAAGTGGATTTTGAGGGGGGTACTTGGAGATTCGATTTCGGTATTCACAATTCAATGGGAAGAAGAAGAAGCAACAAGGGCGGTGAAAAGATATCATCTTCAAGACCCATGGTATCAAATTTCAATAGATTTAGAGGGGAGCAGAAATTATTAGGATACTTGATCATTCAGAGATTTAGGATACTTCAAAATTAAAAAGTTCGAGGGCGTCTTAGAATTTTCATTTTCTGATCTACTAACTTAAAAATTCAGACGAACTTTCAATGAACTCTATCGAGAAGGTGAGAACAGGTGAAGATGTACTAAAATCCACGCCTTCCTATTGTTATTGCGGTGCGAACAGGGAGAGATCTCGGAAGGAGGGTGGTAATGAAGGCGTCACTCGATATTAGTATTATCGTTTTGGAGTGCCAATAACAACCAGGATATACGGGAGAGGAAAGGAAGGGAAGGTGGTGGTCGTTGGGGGTCATAACGATGTGGTGCTAACGATCTCACAAATAATCCTTCTTTCTCTCTTCTTCTTGAGATACCAATATTCCGAGATTCATTACGTCAGATGGTTGGAGAGAAGAAGTGAGAGTGAGAAGAAAGTAACATGATATGAAGAAATACTAAGATCAAGAGTAAAAAGAAATTGAAAGTAAAAGTGCTTGATCTCTAGCCGTAGAACCATTGGAAGATAGGATAAGATAATCTTTTGAAAATACCGTACAACCTGTGAAAGACGGGTCTCTACATTGTCAGGTTTGAGCTCAATTATCTCGGTTTCTATAAGAGATATCAAAATGTTTCAACTGATAAAACACTTCTGATTGTATAATAAACAATTTATCAGTTGACAACTTTTCTATATCTTTTAGAGTAACAGAGATAAATTGGCTCAAATTCAGAAGACAGAGGATTCTTCCATTACAGGTTTTACGGTGAAAAATCATAATCAAAACTTCTTTGACTTTCCAAACAATGCGGGAAACTTTCTCATAATCATCACCTATTCACCCCGTGTATAATTCGAAACAGTATGTTGTTTTGCCGAAAAACCAGTCGGGAGCATAAGAAGAAGACACAGCAGGACGGACGCACATGAACAAATCGGGGGTACCTCTGTTGTTTCGGATTAGAATGGAAGGCGAGAAGAAGAAGAAGATGAGAAGGAAGAGTGGTTTCGGTGACATAATGAATTGGGTGTGAAATAAGAGAGATATGCTAATTATACTAACAAGAGGCTTCTGGAGCATCTGGAGAAGCAGAGAACCTAAAAATTTGAAATAAAATAAAACCGGTGTAAAGTTTTCACTCCTCAGCATCTTTTCCTTTTCTTTTTTCTTTTTCTTCTCCCGGGTGCCAACTATACACATTATTAATAATTTGTAAGGAAGCTAAGAAAAGCGGCGGCGACGGCAAGTTGCCCCCAGGGGGAGAAAAACAAACCTCGAGAGGAGCAACTTTTTGGTAAAAATAGGAAAGAGCATACTATTCCATTCCTTTAGGTTTCTTTAGGACGGGCAGGTGCAAAATGTATCAAATATGCACAGGCTTCTGGTACACAAATCAGTGGACTCGCACCTGTCATGTTATTGTGCATATTTGGGTCGTGCGGTAAATTAGTGTGATGTGGAACAGCCTGTTCTCAAATCGGAATAGGTAACGGAAACTATTAGAGGATTTCTAAAGAGATGGAAATTAATGGAATAGGTAGAACCGCCTAATGAGAAGGAGAGGAAACGAGTTGCATAGAAATGGGCCGGATTAAAAGGATGGGCGGTACGCAAGAACTGACGCAATCAAGCGAGGGATGAAGAAGACGTTGAGCACAGGTGTTCGGAGGTTAGACTAGTTTATACTGTTTATTCCAAAGAAGGCTTCTTATCTTGAAATAGTTCTAACAACACTTATTCAAAAGAATACCAGTTACAAGAAGAAGACAAAGAACAGAAGAGACCCTCTGATGGAGTGCTTACTACTACTTTTAATAATGATGTCAAAAACTAGACAACATTGGAGACATCAAATGCTTCCTTTCAGCATTAGATTGCTAATGTAGCTGCAGAACACACTGGGAACGACACAAAAAAAAACGAAACGGAACGCGGATGCTCCTTCAAAAACGTGAGGAGGAGCAGGCGTGTGATCATACAAGTGGCGAATAAAGGAATCGAGCTCGGAGAGGGAGCAGACTATCCTTTGCGTGAAGAGCAGCAGTACTGTGTGCCATTCCGTACGGAAAGAAGGGAAAGAGAGGCAGAACAAACCAGATCAAATTTTTGATTGAGAAGCTTCTCTCTAGAAAATCAACAAAACAGTACGAGACCGGTCAGTAGCAGTGATACAGTTCCTCAAAGAATCAGAACAGTCTCAGTGACCAAGAGAAGAACATAAAGTCTTTTGGCGCGCACAATCAAAATTCGAATAATTCTTTCAAAACGACACAAATGATGATGACAGAACCCAAAAGCAAACATACGACGGTCACCTCTTTTTGTCAACTTTTGCCAATAAGCGATCTCGACACAAAAGAGCAAAGAAGCAAAGAGAGTGAGGAATAGTAATATTTCCATTTTTGAGGAACAAATACCATTCTTCTGGAGGTGAGCATGTGCACAACGGATGACTAATAGTAGGCGTCATCAGAAATGTGTGCAGTGGATACAACCACTATGCTTGCGCAGTGTGCAGTTTGCCGTGGATTGAAAACTTTTGATGTTGCAGAGAAGAAGAAAGTGAGATGAATCATTGAAATTGACGTTCTAAATTTCTCAAGTATCTGACCTTGGGAATGTTGCTTTTAGCTTTTGGCAAAAAGCTTTTTGCTTTTTGTCGGCTTGTTAAGTGGATTTAGATTTTTCCAATGATTCTTTAAATGTCTATTCCTGTCAAGTCAAAGTAGGGTGCGATTTCTAACTCCTCCTTGATCAAAAATGATTCGGAGAACAGAAGGTGTCACAAATAATTCAAAAAGAGCAGAAGGTACAGGAGCCAAAAATAAAGAGTCGAAATGAATGAAAAATGTTGGATTGGGTGTTGTTGGGCGAAGACATAAGGGACATTGGTGGGTACAAACCAGCAGACGTGGCAATTATCTGCGAAACCCAAACCCACTCGTCTCAACACAACATGAAATTTATGGGCGGATCTGTGAGGGGAATAGAGAGGGGAAAAGGAGGACTACATCAGCAGTACCACAGTCCCTAGAGAGAACAGGTGACCTCGAAATAGGAAAGAGAGAGGGTGTTCGTTTGATTTGAATTTATTCTATGGTTTCAGTATTTGGTATTATTCTTGCACCATTTGAGTGAAACTTCTAATACTACACATTGCGAAAATTTAAGAGTTTTTTTGGTGGCAATTGCTTCGATTAAATAAAACTTTGAACCCGAGGTACTACTCAAATCAGCAACAGCCCGGTGTGAACACAAGGGTAAGCGGAATGAATATGAAGCATTTCGAATCGTCCACACACAACTGTTCCTCTCTTTTTATCCCGTTTCCGGTTTACACAGCGGGATGGAATGGTCATTATTTTAGAAAATTACCCAATCGAATACAAGATTCGATGATTTAAACTGATGTTTTTTTTTCAATTTAATTCAAAGTTTGAATTTCAAACCGAAATTTTTCAACAATAAAAAAACTCACTTTTTACGGCCTAACGAAGAGTGATCGGACGATCCACTTGACATTGAATCGGATGGATGGCGTCTCTTTTCACTGAGAGCTGCTTCCAGAGCTTCACGCTTCTTCATAACCTGTCCACCCAATTCATCCATTGAAGTTGTTGTTGTCTTCATAGCTGGTGCGAACGTTTTTCTTCTGACAACCGGAGTAACAAGTCCTTCATTGATAACCATAAGTTCTCCATCCGTCGTTCTGCCTCCTAATCGCTCTTTCAATGCTTTCGCTGACTGTCCAACACTTCCAGGTACCAATGGATCGGTTACAGCAATTAGGTTGGGTACGGATAGACGGTGGTCTCCTCCACGACCTCTATCGATAGCCGCAAAAGCATTACGACCGAATCCATTGTGACTGGTAGATGGAGATGGGAATCCGTTACGTCTTCTCATTGCGATTTGGGGACTTGCATGAGCACTGTGAACTTCTCCGTATGGATGTTTGGCGATTTCATTCGGAGAGAGCATTTCATTTGCAGATTGGAGTCTGAAACTAACTTTGTTATGATTTTTAAGCAACATGATGAAAAATATTTTTATATTCAACGTTCCTCATCAACATACTTTTGCGCACGGCTCACTTTAAATTTCAGCATTTTTGTTGTTTCAAAATAGGAATAATGATGTCATTAAAAGAGGCGAACTGTATACTAGTAGACTTTATGATAACCGAAAGAAAGACTTTAGATGAGTGATGCTCCGAGAGATGACGGGTGCACCGGGAACATGTTTGCGCTATTTGGAAAAACAAATATACTCATCAGCCGAGAGTCTCCTCGATTTTTTCACTGTTTTTAACTTGTGCCAATGAGAAAAAATTAGAAGAAAAAAAAAGAGTGGAAAGAAGTTATGCAAATATCTTGTTTTGAGAGAAAAAAAATGGATAGATCACAATTTTTGCAGCTGGGTAATGGTAAAGTTTAGGAGCAACTTCTAAATGTATGAAAACTGAAATCCAAAACCGCTATTGCTGCGAAAACGCTACTGTCAAAAGAACGACGTGTGTCGTTTTGTCGCCGCCGGAAATCAAGACAGGTCACATTTGCATAATAGTGTCAATACTATACGGGAATTCGAAGAAGTTTGCATTCATTTTATTGAGAGCCAGCAGGAAGGGAGGAGAAGCGTGATGATTGAAATGGAATATATTCTCTTACCGTTTTCGTCGCAACTCTTCCACACAGTTCTGCTGTACTTGAGGATCTGCTGCGTTCGCCGGTGGCGTCATCGGGACACGACCTATAAATTATGGATAATATGGAAACTTGAAAAATGTAGTTCAGACATGATACGATTTTTAAACAGCTACAATGCAATTATATAACGACAGTGAGCCGTTTTTTTTTTCAAGGCGCATAGTGCAAATCTTCTAGAAGGTTCTCGAATCTTATTTTTTCAATTCCCGCCAAAACTGAAAACTCCGAAACATTTGCGATTTTTTGCGATTTTTCGAGAGAATAATTGATTTTTTCTTAGATTTTTTTGCAAAATTTTTAGATCTTTCCAGGTTTTTCAGCGATTTTTGAAGATTCTTCTTCGATTGTTCCGAATTTTTTGTCTGAAATTTGACGGGATGATGTTCGCAAGGATTACTGTAGACTACTGTAGAAAACCTAATATTTTGTAGTTTTTCTTGCAATCACAATCACGTCAAATTGCAGACAGGAAAGTGTCTAACTGCAACCGACAGTAATCTTCGCGAACACCGTTCCATCAAATTTCAGACAAAAAATTCGGAAAAATCGAAAAAGAATCTTCAAAAATAGCTGAAAAAACTAAAAAGATATGAAACATTTGCCAAAAAGTTGGAGAAAAAACAATTGTTCTCTTTTTGGATTTTTTTGAAAAATTGAAAAAGGACATAAGGGTATTTCATCGGCCAAACTTTCCGTCTCAGGGCCTGAATCTTGACAATGGTCTCGCAAAATTCATTTAAACTACGGTATTTTTCACTCGGAACGCTTACCAATTCCGGAGGTTGTTGGCCCTGGACTGCTTTCATTGTGATGAGCCAATCGTTGAGCATTATTCTTGATTCCAAGATTCAATCCATTGCTCATAACTCCAAGATCGCTTCTTTCTCGTCGCATAGCCAAAGGTCTGGAGCGACTGGATGGTGATCCGGCGAGTGCAACTAAATAAAAACGATTCTTGATTTTTCTTTCAAAAAAAGAAAGTGCTCACCCTCATCATAATTGGGCGGTCTGAACGTTCGCATCGATGGATCCGTTAGATGATTGTTGTTGTGGTGTGGCGACGCCGTCATCTCTGCATAGGCAGCTTCCTACAATACGAAGAATATACCGGGGGTGAAAATTGGTGGAAAATGAAAGAGAATGACAACATGCAACTAAAAAAAGAAACAGAAAGGAGGATCCGCTGCTGACGATAATCGTTTGAACGAGAGCGAAAAGAAATGAAGATGAAAGAGGATGAACACCGGACGAAAAAAGTAAGAAGAAGGAGAAGAAGAATAGAGACAAACCTTCCAGCCACGCGTGTAATTGTCGTCGTCGAACATGTTGGATGATGAGGAGGAAGCGTTCTTTTGATAAACGGAACTCGGCATCACTCCATTTCGTTTTTTCGGTGTCGCGGAGCCGAAAAAACCGCGCGTCGGTGGAGTTGTGATGTCGAATGCAGAGCGAGAGCTGGAATAAATTATATTAGTTTTGGAAAATTCAAAAATTCTGTTTTTCTTTTTCGACGTCTACTGATTTAATATTCCTCTTTTACTATTCGTCGTCTACTGCGAAAAAGATCAAACTTCCTCTACGAGATCCTACTGTATTCTTGGCGAGACCCTAGACTTACCAACACCAGCTAATAAGTACAGAAGTCATTTTTGCACACAAAAAGTGTTGAACTCTTTCTCCCAGCAATTCGTAGGATGTGAGCGTGTGATTAGAATCACCACTCACAAATCACTACAAATCGGTTTTCTATCGAGAAGAGGAGCACGAGAAGAAGAGCAACAGGGAAAAGAAGTCTCCTCCACGTTCCCATAAATCTTGAATTGAATTCGTTTTAAATGGGGTGGCAGCAGTAAGGGTGTGCCACACAGGGATGATCAAAAAAGATACTGGCTGATGATATCTCTTTTATCAATTTCTTCGTGCCTCATATATATATTTGAAGATCCCCGAGCAGTGTATGTCACTGGTTAATTAATTGTCCCATGTCTCGTCTCTCCCGGATTTATCATTATCCCTACATCACTGACAACACATGTCACATCATCTCTGTTCGTGTATATCAACACGAGAGTAGAAACACGACCGACTGAGCTGAGATGATAATAATGATGAGATCGGAGGAGGTGAGAGGTCAAAATGTATCTTTTTCTTTTAAAAGGCTGAAACTCTTACGTTCTAACTTGCATATTCGAACCGTTTGTGTCCCATGGAGTAAAGTATTCACAGTTGGCAAGACGTGGTGTTGAATCGATATCTACTGAAAATATAGAGATTTCCGGAATCCTAGAGCCACCTGCTGCAGAAAGTGCAGATATCAAAGATGAGCAATCATGGGGGAATCAAAAAAACTCACAGCTCTCTTTTCTCTTGTGCTCCTTATTGGAAGAGCCAAACGATAAAAGTGATCGAAGGAAGGATCTTGGTCTGGAGAGTGTGCTGCTTGTTGATGATGGTAGGAAACCAAGCTTTGGTGACGACGTAACTGTAAATTAGAATGTAAACCAGAATACAAATGGGCTATAGAGGATCATAAATAAGGTGGTGGGGGATGCCTCTCCCAGCATGACTTCTTGATTTGCCAATGAATAACTGGGAAGGAATTGGGGCTAATTTTGATTTATTCTGATTCTCTAAACATGTTCTTACTGGAACCTTTGGGGTGACTTACCACTTTTATGGGATCTGACTGATTGTGAACGACGATCGCTCCTTGAGATGTGCACTGCAAAAATGAATATTACAGCGGTGAGACGAAGGACTCCTTCGGAAGGAGTATAACAGTAGGAAGACTGGTTTCTTTTTATGCTTTTTCATACGGGATCATCCTCTTTTTCGGCAACAATTTCTCTACTGACCATCATCAGAAAAATACAAAAAAAAGTAGGAAGGATTAGACACTCAAATTTGACATTAATCCTGTTATGAAATCATTCTTTTTAGAAATTTGAATTGAAATTCTTACCATCATCCAGACGATCATGTTTGCTTGGTGGAGAATGGGTGCTCAATCCACTATCAGTTTCATCTGTGTCATTTTTTGATGAGACTTTTCCACCATTCCAGTCATCCAGCGAAGTAAAGTCTCCAACACAAACTGTAGCGAATCGAGAGTTTGAAGAAGACGATGCACGGGAAGAGGATCGACGCTTCTTTGACGTCTTCTGCTGACCAGCGGCAGTTCCCAATGCCATTTCAGGTGTCAGCAGAATGGCGCTACTTCTTCTAGGAGAATTGTTATTCTTCGCATTCTCCGCATAATATCCTCCTCCAACTCCAGTCTTGCTACTTATTCTTGGTTCCACTTCGTCGTAGATCGATTCTTCAGGACGGTCCATAAACCATGTAGATGTGTCAGATGTTACTGGAAATTTCTAGTTGTTATTTTTCGAATTCGAGAAAAATTAAAACTCACCATTGCACTTGGGCATTGTATTATTGTTATTGGTGAGGTTGCTGCTTCGGAATGACGATGCAATCGAATTCCGAGATGAGGAGGTCGATGGTGTCTTCTTCCTGGACAATGACATTTCACTTTGCCAGAATTCTGCAAGAAAAAACAACAATACGAGGTGTCATTAGAAATGTCACAGAATGTTGGGGTGGTTGTGAGACTTGTAACACTTCAAAGGCGCGAGAATTCTAAAGGATTCGAGGAAGAGAGAAACAGGCGTATCGGGAACGAAATCGCATAAAAAGTTATGGGTTTTTCTTTGCCTTTACTTCCACCGCATGATGATGGGAATACCCAGGGCTTCGAATTTGGCATGATATGTTTTAAAATTCAGAAATCTAGGTCACCCAAATCTCAAGGTTTTGCAAAATCGACTCTCAGGAGCACAGAGACACAAAGTTCGTTTGGCTGTGCCTCTCTTTTTAAACGGGAAAAAAATAAGGGGATGAGGAGAAAATGACATTCGATACTTTATCAAAACCTCAAAAACGGCCGGCACTTGTTTCTTGAATCACAGCAAAAACGGACGGAAAGGAGGATCTTGTTTTCTAACAACATCAACAAAAATCAAGTGTATTTGAATAGAAAGGATTTTTGGAAATTTCGTTTTTGGGTTTCGGATGGAAAGATCAGAGAATCGGATGGGCTGCCAGATTAACAAGACGCAGTTGTTTCTAATCGAAACTAATTGGGGATAGAACGAAGATCAATTCACTTGACACATCAAGAACTTCAATCAACCTAATAGAGTCTTTACGGATGATACCTGTACAAACCGAAAACATCTTCTAGAATCACCCTAATACGTGTTCGTGTAATAAACTCATAATCGTGGTCACATAAATGCCGCATGGCCAATCAGAAGAGATAGTTCGCCGCTCGTCGTCCTAAAATTGCATCCCGCGCGCGGAACAATAAAACTGTAATAAATGACGGTACATGTGAAAGTACGTTCTTCTTCGTCTACCGCCACATACAACAAACAGATAAACCCACAAAGTAGAGAGAAGAGATGGAGAATGACCGGAAAACGAACACCTTTCTCTCGTTTATGAACACGTCAAGGCCGGTAGATCCGATAAGAGAATCTATAGACTGGCAAATTGGTAATCTGACTAGCTGAACGGAAGGAAGGGAACTAGTGTCGAGATTAACGAGATTCGACGGAGTGTCAATCAATCATAAGAGAAAAAATGAGAAATGGAAGAAGGTGTTAATGGTGTTAATTTTAATACCTATGAATGAGATATGAAGGGGTGAGGTATGTACTTGTCGAAAACAAAGAGGGAAAATAAGAGGAAAAATGAAAAAGTGCTCTATTGAATTTTAAATGATCGTACTGCTTTCAGATTGAATCAAAAGGCGGAAAATATCATTCGGGTACAACATATCGGAGCTGTGGGATCCGGTGGCCGTGGTCGAAGGTCTCGCAGCGACAACTTCCGTAACCTAAAACTATTGTTATTCGCTGGATTTCAGGTTACGGGAGTTGTCGCTGTGGGACCTTTATTTCTCTTCCACAGCTCCGATTTTTTGTATCAGAATATGGAAATCAATTTGATAGCTCGGGCTATAAATCAATCTAGTCCAGCTGTAAAAATCTCCAGAATGAAATTGAAATTGAAGGAAAAAGATAAAATGAAGCATATAATACAACATGTCGATAATAATCGCCTACAGGAAGAGAGAGGGATATGGTTGCGGGAAAAACGAAGAGAAAACACCAGGAAAAATGAAAAAGAAAAGGCCGGTGTCACATATATACTGAACAATGGACGAGGAGATGCAAATTTCACCGACAATGAGGTCTCTTCATTTCTTGAATATCTAGATTTTCATCTTCCATTTTGAGGAAGGAGAAAGACACCGTTTGTTCTGGTTCACCTCATTTTCTTTATCACGCCGTAATCATGATGGATGTGGAGATGATTAGAAGATCCAGATGCAACAATTTCACGGTAATTACGGGAAGCGAAAATGTACTATGTCAACAGAGAACTAATGCATTTATGGGAACCGAGAACTGAGAATACTGAAAGCTATAGCTGAGCAATAAAATATATACTACTGTTCTTCGTCTCCACTTCCAGAATGAATAAACTGAAGTCAGATGAGACGATAAAACGACAGAAGGCTTCTTCTGTCAGAAACTGCTGAAATGAAAACAAAAAACTCAAAACTACTCACAATATGTGGTGCACCCCTCAGCTACTAAATGAACGAAAGAAGCCAGAATGATGCGCCTCGCAATAAAAGTAAAAAGAGAAAGAAGAGGAAGAGTTAGCTTGGGAGGAAGAAGAAGCAGCAAGTCACACATCTGGCAAGGATTCGCCACATCGAAAAAGCTTCTCATCGAAATCCGATGGATTCACTTAATTTCTACAATATGCTCAAAATCTCACCCTGCTCCATAACCGCGATACTCAGAAGTTGCTTAGTGGTCGTGCATGCACGGATGGCTGATGGAAGTTGAAGTCGATGTTCGAGCTCGTCTCTGGAAATTAAAAAATTGAGAGTACGTAAAACCTGTAATAAAAGGGCCCCTAACTTTTAGCTTTGAGCCAATGTTTTTCGGTTCCTTTCAAAGATAAAAAATAGTTTTCAACTGATGAATTCAGAAATGTTTTGTCAGTTGACAAACTTTGGATACCGTGCATAGTAATTGAGATAATTGAGATCAAATTTGAGGGCCCTTCTATTACAGGTTCAAACAAAGGTGAGAAAACTCACTCATTAACACAATAGTGTTCAATTAAAAGAGGAAGTGATCGAAACGTGAGTGGGCTGCCTTCCAGTCGAACCTATAGAAAAAGAAATAAATTAGATTTATTGGATTTCTTTCAATCAGTGATCAAGCTCAATGTTTCAAACCTACCGCTTTCGCTGTTGTTACTTGAGGAACAACAGAATCTGCAGCAGATTTGAGTGGGACGACGAGCTTCTCGATGATGTAGTGATCGATTTCCACGTGTGCTCCAGGAGCCAATCTGACCGAGAGAGCCATGCAATTCTCACGAGTCGATGCTCGAACAATGAAGTTCCCGGGTTCCATTCGACGAAGGAGGTGGAGAACTTCAGGACGACCCATATGTGGGAGGTACCTGGAAAAAAAGTTTTTAGATATTTGAATTGATAGCTTATCCAAAATGGGCAACGGGAAACTTACCATACTGCATGTGTCCGTATAATCTGCTCCAACAACGTCACACTTTTTCCATTCATAGAAGACGTCGACGAGTTGCGTTTGAGCACAAAATCTGAGTAGACACTCTCCTCACCACGATCCGTTGACGATATGGAGGTGTTCATGTACATAGCCGGGATCGGCGGCCGAGGTCTCTGCAATAAGCAAATGGAATGAAAAAAGATCTGGTGGCCTCTGAAGACGAATGGTCACCAATTTGCCATTTGATTCATCTCGTTGGCGGGAAGGTCATCACAATGAGAATTAGATGGAAATTGGGAACGAAGATGAGGAATACGGAGGGGAGGGTATGGTTTCAATTTCACCTCTTTCAACCTTTCGGGAATAAATGATGGGTGAAAGAATGGGGGAAATGATTGGTTTAATAATTGACCTGACTTCTTGATGCAAGCGATTACATCTTCAGAGTCTTCATAGAAGACGTTCTCATTTATTTTGAAAGTAGGACTACGGTAGTGAGGTGAAAACTAGAATATTTAAAATAAACCATAGAGACAATACGATTTGAAAGTCGATTTTATATTTTCCCGGAAGGAGAATTCTGAAGAAAAAAAAAACGAATTTTAAAACTCATAAAAATATATACAACCCCCATTTCACAAATAATAACAAGTGATAAGGACACGCGACTCGTGCTTTCTTTCTCTTTACCACAACAAGTGTCCATTACTTCTAGTCGCCTTCGATGATAAATTGGAAAACGAGGAGAAACTGGACCCGAGAGTGTTTGTGTACTCTTTGTGTTACACTTACGAATTGAATAGACATAGTGGTGATAACCTCCCAGACACTTTTTAATCTATTTTTCTTCTTCAGAGCAATGATTCAGAATTTTTACAACTGCTCTCTCACCTCTTCTACCTCGCTCTGGGACAGTTCCTGTGCTATTGGACTGCTCGCATATTCGATCGGTACCGCCCAATCCGAGACTCGTCGGATACCATTGGACATCAAGCTTTCGTTGAGAGCACCTTCTGTGATGGTTTCTGTCGACGTTTCGCCGTCTGAAACAAAAAAAAGTGATTAATAAGGAAAATGAAGAAATGGAGAAGGAGCTATTTTTATAAGATGTTAATTCATTATTTGATTTTACAGAGAGCTTTTTTCGTAAAAACTGTATTAAAAGAGCATTTCTAATAGAAGGGCTCACCGAGAGATTGTTGGGAAAATAGAAGGGTCGCCTTAAAAACTCTTTGTTTGAAATTAAACATTTCCATGGGTTTTCAGTTAAAAATAGTCCGGAAATCTTACAATTTCGCAGAAATTTAGCTAAATATTTAGTTGAAACACTCTTTTTCGCTCTAGCTCAATTTTGATAAAATTGACAGATTTAAAACGAGAATTCACCGATTTTCTTGATGAAAATTTTTGTAAAATATGGCCGGACAAAAAAAAGAGCCCCCTCTAATTGAAGGGCCCTCCGGAGGTACTTTTGAACAATAGAAGAGCTGGCCCTTCTAATACAGGTTTTACGGTAGATAGGAAGTCTTGAATCTAAATGCAGAACAATAAACAGGAAAAGACGCTCGAAATGTTTCAGGATCAAAAGAGTATGAAGTTCGGAAGAGAAGACCCTCGGACAGCCTGTCCGCCTGCCATCAGAGCGCTTAATCAAAAGCAAACAAATAATGATCGGAAGAGGGGAGGCAGGTGGGTGTTGCGCATGGCCAGTCGAAATGGGGACAAAGAGTCAAATATTGCAATTCCCTTGGCGAAGAACTCTGAAGATGTCAGAGAATAAGCAACGTGAAGGAATGAGGATTCATGCGAGACAGCTTGTCAGCAGCGGTCGAAGAAGAAGGAAAGACAAGTCCATCGTTCTCTTCTCGCTCTATTTCACATGGATAGGCCGACGCAACGTTACTAGTCATCATCAAGCCATTTATTACAAGAAAAAAAGTAGGCGCATGTCTCATTTGGCATACTGTCGGGAGTAGGAAAACTTGAGATTTCTTTATAAGGATGACCGGTTCTCAGCCAGGTATCGGACAGAAGGATTGGGGGGGGGGGGGATCGAGAGAGCCAAATGAAAATATTTCTCACCGAAAGACCTACAACCGTTCGGCTGTTTCTCGTCGTCATCCTCCTTCATCATTACTCCAGGAACCGACGTGATGTCTTCCACTTGTACTCGAATTGCTCCAAAGTCCGGGCTGAACCTGTAAATTGACAATTAATTGGTGCAAATTGGGTATTAGGTTGACATTATTCTACTTCACACTATCTAATAGACAACAACAGTTGAAAATGAAAAAAGGTTCTCATGGAGAGAAAGTACTAACTAATTATGACTGGTTATGAATCATAGAGGATTGGGAGAATGAGTGTGAGGTAGAGATTGTATTTAGGTGAGAATTATACACGAAAAGCAAAACTTTTTTGATTAGAGAAATCGGGGAAATTATTGCTTCAAACGTGATAAATGCGCTTCCGACACAGAAACTAACAAAAACAGACAATTTTAAACGGGTTTGAATGATGAAAAAGAACAGAAGCTGTAAAAATTGGAAATTTTCGGTTTTCGAAACTCTCTAAATTTTGAATTGGCGTCTGTAACACCCACATGTGCGCTCTAATGATAAAAATCCTGGAACTTCTGAAAAAATTTGGCTTCATTGCAGAATTCAGAAACAAGAAGGCTAGCTTTCATATTTCAGAAAAATTTGTCGACTGAAAATTCTTTTCGATTGAAAAAAAAACAAAAAAAAGACAGTAAAAAACGGAGCTTAATAGAAAAAGTTACAGCGGGTCTCGACGCGACAACAGTAGTACGAAAGATATTTTTTTGAAAATTGTCGCCGACCGAAACTAAAAAGTTAAATTTTTTGAGCAAAGCGGTGATAAATAGGAATCTGGTTGAAAATGCTTATTGTTCTGGTACAAAAAATCAATCAATGCTGTTCAACAAAAACGCTGTTAGCCGTAGCCGAAGGTCCTCAACGGCAACTACAGTAACCTAAAAATATTCTCATTTTCAGTAAATATTCATTTCTCTTTTTTCACTGATTTTTGTCGATTTTTGTGTTATTTTTTCCCCAAACATGTCGAAAAATACATTTTTGATAGTGAAACGATTGACTGAAAATGCGCGAAAATCGAGATAATGAATCCGGAAAATAGCAATATTTTTAGGTTACTGTAGTTTTTGTTGTAGGACTTTCGGCCACGACCACCGGCTTCCTCTTCCACAGCTCCGATTTTTGCATATCAGCAAGATCAATTTCAAAAAACTCACTCTCTACCAGTTATATCATCACTTTTACGCCTTGTCATCGTCGACGATCTATTAGCACTTCCTGCCACAATGCAATCCCTATAGTCCAATTCCATTATGGGCATCACCGCCACACTCGCCCTTCTATTCTTTCGCTGTCGTGTCGCTTCTGCCGATTCTTCATAAGCGGACAACGGTCGTTCGTTGCTAAGACTACTGTAGTTCGTTGTTGTTCCACGGTTTCGAGCGATGGCTCTCGCCGACATTGTGAAGTCGTCGGGAGGACAAGGTTCCTTGAAGAAATAGAATATTGATTAGAGATAAAAGAAGAAAAACAATTGATTGAATGAAAATAGAAAAGAGATGATCAGAATGGTGGAAGAGACACACTTTCCCATCACTATTCAAACGAGCCCACAACCAACGATTCCATTTTATTAGTTTGACTTTGCATGGAAAAATACACTAGGGGGTTGAGAGACGCAGAGAAGGTCAGAATAGCATTCAAAAGTGATATTTCACACGAGGAATGGGTCACTGTAAGTCATTATGAAACCTATAAAAATTTGAAAATTACAAGTCTTTGTCTAGGTGTGAAATTCAAAAGTAGGGTACTGTAGTTTGATTGATTCTGACTCATAGTCTGAGATCTCGTGCTTTCGAATGTTTTCAATGTTTTCGAAAACAGCTTCCAGAAAATTTTTATAAAATGATTTCTATTTTTAGACCCTGACCGTCTTATCTCAAAAAAAAACTCACCTCTTGTTGATTATGATAAGAACTGAGTTCCAGTTTCGAACTTTCGAAATTAGGAGAAGATCCAATTGGAAAAGAACATGGACGGGTTTTAGGGCTTTTTAGTTCTGGTTCAGCAACTTCCAGAATCCTCTGAAGCTTTTCTCTTTCCATGAATATTGGTTGATACGTATCACGACGAATCAGGCTTTTTCGAAGACGAACTTCCTCGCCTTCAAGACTTTTTGCTTTGAGTAGCGACTTCCTAGGACATGGGACTGGTGTCTTTGTAGCACCTTGGAATACAATACGTCTAGGTTTTGGCACCGGAATAACAGTAGCTGTTGGAGGAGGACATGATGTAGATGTAGATGGTTGAGATGTTATCACCATCATCCATCCGTTCGAATAAATCGAATATAATCAATGTGAAATTGTCTCTCTCTCTCTCTCTCTCTCGATTGTAGAAGAAGAGGACGACAAGAAAGAGGTGGAGAAAAAAGAACAAGGGGGCAGTGGCGGTGGCGTCGAAAAACACACCGGTGACTCACGCCCCCGGCCGGCGGTCAGCGACTTTTTTGCGACAAAAGAACGACGCAATCGGTTGCGAAAGAAGCTTCACACGGGGTCGCCGACAATTTTGACGTGCCGTTCGTTGAATAGAGAGAGTACAAGTTTCCGGAGTCTCTTCTTTCTTCACGGTCACCTTCGTCCGCAGAGTAACAAATCAATCGAAAGATGGTCGCAGCGCCATGGTGGTGGTCACTTTTGCCGTGTCGCCCATCAAATGTGCCACTTTGAGTGTCTCTCTACGACTTTCGACACCTTGACTCCAACAGTCGTAGTTCCTAAGATCTTCACAAAGAAAACAATTTAAACTACAGTAACCCTTTGCCTAGCAAGCTCAATAGAAAAGAATCTTGTCAATTTCGATTAAGCGTATTTTCTATTTCTTCAGCCTTGTACAGTTTTTTAATCGAATCAAGCTGTTGTCATGTCTTGTTCCAATCAATCTAACCATCTATTTCTCCAATCACTAAACACCCACAGAATTGAAAGTAAATTGAAATAAAAGCTGAACAAAAAAAACGATGATAAGAAGAACCGGAAGGAGGGAAAGATGAGCAAAAAGGTGAGGAATCGGAAGAAGAGTACACCTAACCTATTGTCGCGCCTCATTTATTACACCTCCCCATCACCACCACCAACCACAACCATCACCAGTTCGCGCGTTCGGTGTCCCGATGTTTGCGGAGGTGTCGAATGTGTATCAATGATTAGCATAGAAAGCGAGGTGGTGGTGACGACTAATTATTTTTTGTTATGATAGCGAATTTAGATTAGCTGGTAATATAAGATAGTGACAGTAATTCAAAGATTTTCAAATGTGAATACTGTAAATGCTTTAAATGAAGAAGCTCACCTCATGAATAAGCATACTTTGAGCTCAATTATCTTGGTTCCTATAATAGATATCAACATTTTGTCAATTAATAAAATGTTAGTGATAATATGAATAAGATTTTATCAGTTGAGGGATTTTTGATACCTTTTACAGGAATCCAGATAACTGAGATACAATATTTTTGAAATTACCATAAATTTTTTGTTAACACACCATTTTTTGATACCTTTCATGAGACCTGAGAAAATTTGTTTCAAAGTTGATGGTCTGGGGCCGAACTCTATCTTATGATGTGTTGGTTCAAGAGACATCAAATAACTCATTACTGAAAATTTCATGTCCATTTAAATCAACACAAATGCATACTTCAAGATAGTGCCAATATTTTATCAGTTAACAGATTTTTGATATCTTTCATAGTAACCGAGATAATTGAGCTCAAAGTGCAAGTATACACTGGGCTTCCATTAGAGCAAATGCGGTAAATCCCTTTAATAACAGGATCATAAAACTGAAATTCTTTAAAGATCACTGTAAAGTAGTAAGCAGAAAAGGTTTTAAAAACGAAGTAGTGATTGCAGAGAACCGAGTACAAAAACGAACACAGAAAAGTTAAGATTCCAAATAGACCAAACACTTTTCCAAACCCATTAGTCTCGTCAAACCCATTATCGAAAAAAAAGACAACAAGATGAAGATTCCTAAGAAGCGTAAATGATAGATTAAAGAATTTAGACAAAATCCTATATCCATTCTCTCGATATCTCAAAGTTTTGAAGATTTTGGCGCTTTTGAAAGAGCGAATCGTTTTCCGAACGTTCAGCCGGCCAATGATGATGATGATGGGTGAAAGATGCTAAATGTGCAAACAGCGGAAAAGTCGGTGCTAACCGCTCAGGGCGCTGCCGGTCTTTATCTTAAGCGTGGAAACCGTGCACTTTGTGAAAAAAACGAAGGAAGAGAAAATGAGCCGGTGGTGGGAAACAAATCCGTGAAACATACAAATTACTGGACTGGTACTTTGTAAGGTCTAGACCAGAATCTTCAAGAAGGGGGCGAAAAACATAATGAGGGGCTGAACAATCAAAAATTTAAGGTGTTAATGAGCCAGCTAGGCATACAGCCTTATTCCAAGATCTTTGAATAAAAAACACCTAACCTCAAACAAGCGTATAGTAAACCAAGAACAAAACTGGAACCTTATGAGGTAAAAAAGAACAAAAAGAGCCTTGGAGCGTCTAACTATACAAGGTAAATAGACCATTTGTTTTGTGTAGTCTATGCGAACGGAAGCCTCTTCTTCACGGGTGCAAATAAGAGCCAATGGACGGAAAAGGGAGCTAAATATGGGATGGTATATAGCAAAAAACAAAAAAGATTTACTCAATTTTGATCTAGACAAATTTAGATTTCTCTACTGACAGGTTGATCGTCTTTATTATGCAGCCTGGGAGAATCCAAAGTGTAACAAAATTTTCAAAGTTGAAAAGGTGGTTGGATGGGAGAGGGAGAGTTGTTACAATCGGAGTAAGTGATAAGTTGGACTTGGGAAATGTAACAGAAACACTCGCTCGTACTTTTACTACTTATTTCGAATACAACACGAACTTCAACATCAGGAACAACAACAACGCGAAATCTGATGAAAATTGGCTGTTTTTGAATCTGAAACAGCATCAAACGATACAGTTTTTCAGATTACTGTAGGTAGATTGTTTTCATAAGCAATTTTGAAAATCAGATACTTTAAGTTTAAAAATCGTTCGATATAGTACATACCGTATTTCTTTTAAAACGAGCCCATCCAAACCGTCAACTTTGAGCTCAATTACCTCGATTTCTGTGAAAGATATCAAACATTTGGCAACTGATAAATTGTTAACCACGATACCAATATTTTATTAGCTGAAAAGTTTTTGATATGTCCTACAGGAATTGAGATAAGTGAGATTAAAGGTGAAAGTTAGGGGCTCATTCTATTAGTTTACAATATTTGTATACCGTTTCAATTCACAGTAACGGGCGAAATCAATGAAAAATGTACAATTTCCTAAAACTGCTTTTAAGAATCTTAAAATACCAATTGGACAAAATGAAATTGGTTTCTAAATAAATTCGGAAATTAAATGCTTTTGGTCTGTGAGTTTACTGTAAATCCAGTAATAGAAGGGCCCCACAATGTCAATTTTAAGCTCAATTATCTCGATTCCCGTGAAAGATCATTTGTCAACTGATGAATTGCTTATCATAATGGCACAGACATTTTACTAGTTTAAACATTTTTGATATCTTGCATAAAAGCCAAGAAAAATAGATCAAACATGAAAGTGTGGAGGCCCTTTTATTACAGGTTTTACGACACTTGTTACAAATTTTCCGATCTTTATTGTTCTGAGAATTTTACTTTCCACAAATGGTTTGGTCTAATATTTTCAATATTTTTTCTCTTAATGAAGATCTCTTAATAAATACTTTTCCCCCGAAATGACCGTTACATTTTATCAAATTACAGCCCGTTACAAAAACATCTCCAAATTGAGTGCACACCAACTGCTTCCTATAATTCCGATTCTCTCCAAAATATTCAATTTTTTGAAGACATGTCCCGTCTCTATTTATAATTGAGTTATCCAATAATAATATTGTTCTCTCTCCCTCGTTTTCCCATATGATCTGTTTTATTTCCACTTATAAAATTTCATCTCGTTTTCTCATTTCTATGACTCATGCAAACATACCGCCTTCTTCGATTTCCCAACAACTCATTTCTCGCGCATTTACCATTCGTTCATTCCCAAATAAGAACTTTTCTTCGTCTTGTTCCCTTTTTCTAACTTTTCCACTTCTTTCCTCCTAAATTCCCCCTTCTTCTTCCCCTGGCTTTCCGCCCCCACTGATCTCTTCTCTTCCAACTGATCCAAAATCTTTGCGATGGCATCGAAATAGTTTTGATTCTTGAGAGACTCAGACACAAAATAGAGAAAAGATACAGAAGAGGCGAGAATGTGTGTGATAGAAGAAGAAGAGCCCATGCTGCTGTAAAGATCGAAAAAGAGGGAAGAGGTGGAGCTGATGGGATCCTGGGGAGAGTCGGAGGAAAGAGAGAAAGAGAGATAGAAAACACCACAACAATCAGTTTTAACTTTGATTTCAGTATCGTTTTCAGTATTGATTATTTTATTTATGTTCTTGTTAAGCTCGCTTTAATCGGAACTTGATACAGTATCCCAGTTGGTTCATTTTCTTTTTTTTCAGTTATTTTTTCTAGCCCATTTTGATACCGATTTAAACGACTCCAATATATCATCTGGGACCCTAGTTAAAATACCGTATAAACTCAAATAGTAGCCCACCCGAACCGTCAATTTTGAGCTCAGTTATCTCGACTCCTGTAAGAGATATGAAAAAGTTGTCAACTGATGAAATCATTATCATAATATAAAAAATATTTTGTTACTTGACCAATTTTTGATATATTTTACAGTAGTAGAGATAATTGACAGTAATCAAGATAACTTTACAGTAATCGAGACCTAATTTTACAGTAATCGAGATAACCCCCATTTTTGTAAATACTCCGATATACCAGCTAGGATCCTAGCTCAAATATTTTTTCCTTGTTCAGATGTTCAGTAATTCAACCAATCACTCTGATTGGATCAATGTTACCCTACTTACTACTCGTCCTCAGAACTATTCGTCCTCAAAAGATGTTTAATTTCTTTCGGGTGTGTTCCTAAACAGCAGAAATGTTCAAAACGACTTTTTTGAGAAACGGAATCCGAGATAAACAAATTTCTCGAACACTTTATCATCGAATTCGGACAAATATACATTTGACGGAATCTAGAATCTGGAACGCAAAAGGCACGAAACCTAAATCCGGACTAATCGGAACCTTCTTCATAAGCAAAGATGCTCTCTACTCCTATCCTGAATAACTTGATTTTTTTCATCTGAAACTTATTCTGCTAACTTCCCGAGATTTTTTGTAGTTCCTTTTCTTCTTTTCCACTCTCTCCCTCTCATCAAAAACATTTTTTAAACTTCTCTCCCGTTCTTTCACAAAAAATCCTCCTCTGATCAGCTCTCGTTTGAAAATAAGAAAAACATGTGCAGACTATAACGTTAGTGTGTGTCGTTTCGTCTCAACTACTACTTGAAAATACTTTTCGACAAACTTCAGATGGTCAAGATTGTGACAGATGGGGAATATGTTCCCTGGTACAGTCGACGGGCTCCACCAGTGTTCTGCTTCCCATGTCTTCCAGCTTATATGGGAATTTGGCCAGCCAGGTATTAATTTTGAATTAAAATTGAAATTTACCGAGATCCCCTTTCCAGAAAATGCGTTCTGATCATCGGTGCCCTCCTATTCTTCTTCGGTGTCATCATCCTACTTGCCATGCTTTTGACCTGTATTGCTGTTGAATGCGCCGGAGTGTAAATATTCTGAAGCTTTTTCCCCTCATCCATTTTCAAAATTTCAGTGCATCTGCTCTGATCCCTCTTGCTCTGATCCTCATCATCGTCGGAATCCTTCTTTTCCACTGTGGATACGCTGCTCATCTTCTCGACAATCATGGAGAGATTCCAATCAAGAAGACAACAACGACTACGACGACTACAGTTATGGATCCAGAATCTCATGAAGACGAGATTCGACTTTTCGAGAATGTGCACAGAGAAGAAGTTCCACATGTGAGTTGGGTCTTGATACAAATGGAGGCCAGTTAATTTAAGTTACCGTTATTCCCCTAACTTTGCGCTCAATTATCTCCATTCATGTGAAAGGTATAAAAAATTTGCTTATTGTTGGTGATATTACCACAAACATTTTATCAGTTGACAGATTTCTATTATCTCTTATAGAAATTGAGATAATTGAGCTCAAAGTTGATGGTTTAGGTAGGCTCTTCTATTAGAGGAAATACGGCATGATTGAAAAAAATGGGAGGAAAAAATGGGAATTAAATTTGTTTGAAATACAATTTCCAGGTGAGACAAGGCTATTGGCAATTCGATGAAGATCTCTCATGGCAGGCTGCTTCCAACCCATACCCAATTCAGTAAGTTTTCGAGAAACTAACATTTTCCCAAAATCAAAAATTGATCTTTCTGATCTTCTTCCTCGAACAGCTATACAACCTACATCACTACAACATACAAAACACATCAGCATCATTTCAACTTCTTCTTTTCAGACACACTCTCAAAAACTGCCTTGAACGTCACCCATACTGATCAGCATCCCAGCTTCTTTTTCTCTTTTCTTTTCTTTAGAATATTCATCTTTCTTGCCATCTATTCTTCCAATTGTTGCCATATTTTTTCAAATACTATAAACACAACTTTTTGTATCGGAGACCCATAATAAATCTGTACAGTCTTGTTGCTGCTGCGTCCACCTGTTAATCCATCATAATTCCACCTATTTTCCTTTGGAAAACAGTAATGTTGATTGGTTTACTAGCGTGTCTAGGCGCATGTCTGCTCCTAGGAACTCTATTCGTTCCAATCAAATCATGTCCACCAACCGATGGATTTGCAACACAGTTGTTCATGTGTTTGGGTAGTTATACCACAAGTTTCGGCGTTTATGCGTACATGGAATTTCCGGGAATCTATAGTTTCGCAATGATTGGTGGAGCAGTTTGGTCAGCGAGTGAGTTTGACAGATTTTAATATCTCATTGTGAGGTTAGGACTGAAGATAATGAATCAATTTGAAGCATTTGATTACCGAATGTCCCTTAACTTTCAACTTCGAGCCAATTTATCTCGATTTCGATACATATGAAAGTTGTCAAAAAGTGGTCAAGTGACCAGATATTCCTGATGTCATGATTAAAATTTTGTCAGTTGATAACTTTTTGGTATCTCTAAGTGTATCTGTTACATAAGCTGAATACCTTCCGGATGGTTAAATAAAAAAGAAGTGGAAGTTGATAACATTTTTTTGAAGCAAATGTTCCTTGGAAAATGATTTAATGTTCTGCAATTTTTTTGTTTCTGAGTTGTTCTGTGAAAACCTCGGCAACTATAAATTCAGTTTGAATTGTCGTCTGCTAATTTTGGAATGTTCCAGAACAATCCCAGTTATTTTTCAGATATTGGGTTGTGGTCTTTTCCACTAAAAATCATTATTTTTTAAATACCGTAATCACTAAAATGAAAGTTTACCCAAACTGTCAACTTTGAGCCAATTTATCTCGGTTCCTTCGAAAGATACCAAAAAGTGATAAACTGACAAAATATTTTTCAAACTATGATAAACATTTTATCAATTGACAAAGTTTTAATATCTTTTTAAAGAGCCGAGTTAATTGAGCGCAAAGTTAACAGTTCGGGTGGGCTTCTATCAGAGGAAGTACGGTACTTCTTTTCCACCAAATAATCTGAAAATTTGTAACGTTTTCTCCAGCTAACTGCTTCGCTGTCTCAATCATGACTCATGTCGGAATGGCGATGTTCATGCTGTTCGCTTCATCAATATCCTGTCTTACCGGATGGGCGATCTCTAGATTCGGACTATTTGGAGTTCCTCCCTCTTTTCCTATGAGCAGCATTCTCAATTATTCTGGAATCGTGCTCTTGATTTTTGGGTAAAGATCCCTTCTAGTTGGGAAGCTATGAAAGTCACTTTTCTCATTTCAGGTCCGCTATTTATCCCTTCATCAAAATCAACGTGTTTCGAGCTGTGAAACCAATAGATCCTCATGTTCAGGTCTTGTCAATGGTAGGGATTATTTGTATTCAAGACAAGAGTTTGAGTTTTAGACCCAACTATCAGAAGTCAATAAATCTAAACATTCCAAGGAAGATATCGAAATGAGCAATTCTTTAAAAAGGATGGCTGCTTGGATTGGAACAATTCTAGTTGGATTATCATTGGGTGTCATGACAACTCCAGTTACTTTATTAATGGTAATCTTGATCATATTTTAAAATTTAAAACGGATTCTTAAGACTCGTCACGACATCTATCCACTGTCGACTGAAATCACAACATCCGTTTCGTTTCATTTTTCATTTTTCACTGGAGTTATTCTGGTATCCGTTGTGATTTTCGTTTTGTATTGTTTACTCAGGTGAGTGAATTTTTTGAGACATTGACGGTTTTGAGACACACGGTGTTTTTACGGAGCTTCTTGTAAGTGCGCTCTGACGCTAAAATTCGAATACCGTAGTGAACAGCCGTTGGTCTCGACGCAAGAGCTTCGGATGGAATTGCTGAATTGCATAACACCGTAAGACTCGCCAGTTCAATTTGAAGCTTTCGCGTCGAGACCAACGCCTCTTTGAAAAATTAGCGCTCGAGCGCATTTACATAACGTTCCGAAAAAATGATCTATAAATTTATGAATTTTCCAGGAAAGGTAAACCAAAAGTTCCATCGAAAATCGTGCTTCCATCGATGCTCAGTGGCGTCTTCTTCGCTTCTGCCATGGTATTTTTCTTCGTGGCAAATGAGCAATTATCACCCACTATCTCGTATCCGATTTGTATGATGGCTCCCGGATTGGTCACTTCTGCTTGGAGTGTTTTTTATTTTAAAGAAATCTCGGTTAGTTATACATTTCTTGAACCCCATCAATCTTATATTGTAGGGACGCAGGAATCTTCTTCTCCTTGGAGCTGCATACATCTTCACACTGATCGGCGTCCTTGTGATAACTGTTTCTCGTATAGTCGAGTTATAAGACAAGCTTTATATAGAGAAGATATTTACGATAGACAAAAAAGACAATCTTGGGGCTGGGGGAAAAGAGAAAATGTACCAATTGTGACAAGATATACAGTACAAATAATTATGTGGGGGTGCGAGGGCAAAGTGTAGATTATGGGGGTAAGCAATAGCTGGGGTGCTCGAATCTACTTGATTGACATTACATTCTACAAGAAGACACGCATTATGGAAACAAAAGCCTGAAAATGTCAAGAAAATTTAGGGAAGCAAGGATGGGTGGATTTTTTGGGGTGGGTGAGAAATAACAAAATGCGGAATTTTTGGGATGAGGAAGAAAAATGGCAAAGTGTTCAGATGGCGAGAATCGATACGATTTACTGATCCTTCTTCTCCTCGGCGGCGACTGGAGCACTGCGGAGGAATGGAAGCTTCTCATCGATCCTGCAAAGTCATTGAAATGAATATTGAACACACAAGAATTAACAAAAACAAACTCACAAGTTCTGGACGTTCTTGAGGTGTCCGGAGACGGTGGCGAGATGGGGGTCGATGGCTTCCTGGTTGGCCTCGTACACCTTTGGGATGGAGAAGGTTCCGAGAAGGGCGAGAACAGCAAGAGTGCATCCAGAGAACCACGAGGCGACGTATGTCAAAGACCAGAGGATAAGTCCGAATTTGATAGATTCCAATGGGCTCTCGACAAGGATCAACTTCTTCAGCTTGTTGGCAATGCATGTGGCGTGCTCGGTGAAAACATCGGCTTGAGCGTGGACCTTCTCTTGTGGAAGGGAGAGATCGTTGGCGAGAATCTCTGAGAATGGGTTCTCAGCATCCGTCTTCTTGATTTGGGATTCTATCTTCTTGTAGGCACTGGAAATCAAACTCATTAATGGTTGTAGCCTTTTAATGATCTTTAAATCACTTACCGGAATCCAGCGGCAGCTCCGAGAGCAAGGAGAAGGGAGTAGGTGATGACGGTGAGAAGTGGGTACTTGGCAAGGATGAAGAGAGCGAGAAGGGCCAACGAGAGAACGATGGCGGACTTCTTGGCATCGCGCCAGTAGATCACGTCCAGGACTGAAAATTACAGAAATTATTGGTAATCCTATCAACTTTTCTTTGTTTTCTCTGCTGCATTTTTGGAACTAAATTTGGAATATGGTCAATTTCTCCATATTTTCTGTACTTTGTATCTTCTTCTTTTGCGAATTGACATTTACATGACCAACGATGACTGCGTGTCCCGTTAGCAATATGATAGACACTTTACCCGACACGATGTTTTCTTTGGGTGTGATAAGAAACGAGATAGGAGAAAAACTCGCCTTTCTGACACGGACAACTCATGGTCAGCAATTTTTCTATAGGAACAGAGAAAAAGTTACAAGGAACTGTGGAGGATCGATAATCTCACACGTGTTTCAAGAGAAGTGTACCCCTTCAACTCCGAAACGAACAAACAAAAAATTAGAGCAAAAGAAAAGCAAGAAGAGATGAGTAAAAAGAGGCTTCACCTCCCACCGACACCTGTTTTCTCTAGCTCCACCCGCCCCAGACATCACTCACTTTTTCCGAAGAAATCGGTAGCTGGAACCCATGTCGGCTGCTTTGAGTACTTTTTGTTAACGAAACGAGTTTGAGCCATTTTGGAATATGAACTAGCACTCAAGACGAGAGTAACAACGAAGACGATCGACCGAGTGACTGAAGAGGCAACAGCAAAAGCGGAATAGATCGCAACGAGAAAAGTGACGGGGAGACGAACGGCCGCGTATTTGTCTCCACCCTGTCTCTCTGCGGTCACCGTAATCGGCAACCGATCAGCGTCCGACGCTCTCCGCGCAACAAAAACTATCTCCGCGAGCGTATTGTCTGTCCCTCCGGAATCTTTACACTCTTTCGTTACTTTTGCAGTTTTGAGACCTCCAACTGCCACATAGAAAACAGTGACCGCGCTCTCTCAATATGCTGCTCTCTACGTCTCAAGCGATTTTTCGGATGTATAGATTCGTATGCATTGTATTCCGATATCTCTATCTTGTTACGACCGGGTCCCGAGAAGAACCACTAACAACTTCCGAGGTCACCAGTATTCCCCTTTCATAAAAACCAGCTCTATTAAATCGGCAATGACCTAGTCTATCTTCTCGAATGGTTTCATTTCACACAATTAACATTCTCTGTGATCGTCCAATTTTGTTTTTTCACTTCATTTAAACCAATTTTTCTCACCCTCTTTTCTCTGAAGAACTCCCGAGCTTTTCGTCAACTTGTAGGCTTCGTGAGCGCTGATACCGACACCAGCTACAAGTGCGGCGTGAAGTCCGACTTTCAAAACAATATTGACAACGAACGCAATGAGCGCGTACAGTCCGCGTCCGATCGCTCCCAATTTACTCATCGCTGCTGCTTGCTCTTCGGTTCCAGTGGGTGTTTCTGATCTGACGCACGTGAATGATGAGTTAGAAAGAGATAAACGATAAGAGAACGACGGAGAGAAAGAAAGGAAAACAAGGGAGATAAAGTAAAGTAGCTAGGAAGAACATTCTATCCCTAGGGAATCTTTCATTTTGAGTGCTACTAAAAATGTTGCAAAATTTTTGGCGATATTTAGTAACGGAAAAATTGCCTTAGAAAATTTCGAAATCCTTTCATGAAAACATAAGAAGCAAGCAACAAATACAGGCGCTACGGCAACTTTCCTTTTCGGATGGATGACCTTCCTACCAGTATCTATATTATAATAACAACACCCAGTGGCAAAATATGAAAATGGGAGAAAGTATGGAAGTGTTGCGAAAGGCACGTGCCTTCTAGTCAATTATTGTCGTTGTCGGCAGTGCGACCAGCGGCGCAAAGACTTTGGGTCCATGAATAATTAGGCATCAGAGGAGAGAAAGAGTGAGCGTAAGCGGACGCAATCGAAAATTGAGCCATTCCGAGCGGAAACAGTGTGGAAATACGCATTAAACTGATTGGTTTGTGATAGAACTTCACTATTATTAAAAATAAGAGAAGATTGATTGATTAAAAAACAGAAAGAGTGAACACGGGACGGTGTGTTTGATTACTGGCCAGGGAAGGAATAATTTTGTAAACAAGAATTGCGAAATGCATCTAATTCACTATTCAAATCAACATATACAGCACAAACCCTACAATATGAATTGCGTATAATCAGCTCAAAATGTTGTGCTCAGCGCGGATGAGGTGAATTCTAATTAACCAAACGGATATTATTCGAATGGAGCAGTGTGCGAGCGTACACGCTGGTAATTTTCGGATTAGAGAGATGGATATTCATGGGATAAAAGCTTCAGAATGCGCAGACTGAAGAAAATGTTTTCGAAAATGGTAAGAAAGGGCACATTTCAATGCAACTGATGAAATGGTGCGCAGGCAGCGAGTGAGTGCGCGCCAAAATTCAAATTCGAATTGGCTGTGCAGTTGGCGCCTCTCCGCCAAAGCTGTACTATTTCACCATTGGTGCAACACACGGGCGATACATTCTTTTGTTTCGCAAGAAAAAAGTGTCGCAATTCAATTGGAAAGTGGCCAAAAAACGAGTGACACACACTTGAACAACTTCAAAAGAATTCTTTTGAATGCTCACCAAACGAGTAAAGGCGCAACTCAAAAGTTGTCTAGGTGGTCACACCACGAAAACGAAAACGAAAAATCGCAAATATAAATATTCAGGGCTTCTTTAAATCTAGATAATCCAGAGTTAGGGATAGGAAAATCTGGATTCCAAATGCGCATATTGTAAAAGATGGTCATGTGGTATATTTTAAATTTTCTGAAACAATGACGAATTGGGATTTAGAAGAACGAAGAACGACTAATAGAAAATCACACTTCCACCCAGAAAAACACGAGAACAGAAGCAAAAAAAGAAACACAAGCTCTCAAAATAGTGCAGACACAAATATGGGAGACCTCCGTTAGCATTACTGGTCGTTGTTGTTGTGCGTCGTGCTTCTTTTTCTGGGCTCTCCGGACCATGTGACCACGCCGGCCATCTGCACCCTCCGCCCTTCACCCGTCTATCCTCGCGCATCGTATCGACTTAGAGTCGTGCCAAATTGAGCGCCCCTTCCTTCACCCAGCTCTACCCGCTTCCCACCCTCTTTCCAACATCAGTCTTCCACCATAGATGGCCAACAGCTTCTTCCAACCACCCCGCCGCCGCCCCTATTATTCTTGTTGTGTATGTTACTACTGCTTTTGAGCTGCTGTTGGAAGCTAGCCTTAGCCGTCGTCGACCGCAATTCCTCACAATTTTGTTGCGAGACAAAGAGCAAGAGCAGATAGACAATTGGGTTGGGTCTCATTTCGAATGCCTTGCACACACTTTTTCATTAAAGTTGCTATAACTTACCACATGGTGGAACCGTCTTGAAGTCAATCCAGGCCTCTCCATGATGCTTAAGAATCGAGTGATGTGGTGAAGATGGATGAGCTGAAAAAAGAAAGTAAACTATTTGCTAGCAGGAAATTAAACATACAGTGATGATGAGCTGGTCCCAAATTGACAGTGGATGGCTTCACATCCTCGTCACTGATGTCCTTTGGTGGAGTTGGTGGACGTGGAACAGTTTCGAACTTCTGATGTCCGAACATCTCTTCCTCAGTAAGAGCCTCTGAAGCAGCAGCTCCAACGGCAGCTCCAAAAGCAGCTCCAGTGTTAGCGGTGACGAGTGGATCAAAATCATCCAAATCCTCGACGTGTTGATGAACAGCAGCGGCTCTCTCCACTTCCTCTGGAATTGTCAGTGGTCCCTTGCGATCGAATGTAGTCTCATCCTCTTCTGGAGTCTGATTTCCAAAGTGTGGCTTATCATCAACTGGTGCATTTTCATCTTCTTCCACAATTGGTGGAGTTGGTTCACGTCTCAAGTAGTTGTCGATCTCATCATGAACCTGATCCACTGTGTCGTGGATATCAACTAATGGTTCTGGAGTTTCGACTTTCTCTGGAAGTGGACTTTCTGGCAATTTCTTCTCGACTTCGTGAATGAAGTCGTCGACAGCTTGTGGAACGGTCTCGTGAACAAAGTCTCCCATTCCGTCGTATGCTTTGTGGAGAGCATCCTCTACTGGTTCCTTGACTTGCTCAATTTTTTGCTGAACGTTGTCAAGCAATTCGCGTCCGATCTCGTCACCCTCTTCGACAGCGTGTTTCTTGTATTCAGAAGCCGATTCGACGGCATCCTGAACGAGCTTGCGAGCTTCTTCGGCGATCGGAGATTCCAGAAGCTTTGCGGTAGCCGCATCGTCCCCGAAATAGTTCTTTTCGATGACGTCGTCGTGGTGGGAAGACATCTGGAAATTGAAAAATAATAGGTTAAAAATGAAAGTGCGGGTTGTGGGTGACTTTTGAAGACAAAACGGAAAAGTGTTGTTGCCGGGTTGTACTAAACATATAAACACAAGACTTTTGGGAAGAATATAGACAAGGGGAAAAGAAAACCAACGGAAAAAATATTGATATTTTTAGTTTAAGTGTTGTTCTAGAAACTTTAAGAAAATTTGATAAAACTTCGAAAATAAGTGATCAACAAAAACTCTCGCAGTACGAATCGGATTTCATTTTTCAGAATTAGGTTCAGAAGACTATCGAAAATTCAGCTTTCTGAAACTTTGAATCGATGGGGTACTACGCTGTTTCTCATTTTTGTGGGTTGGCCAGCTGCTGGCGTTGGCGTAAAAGAGATGTTTGAAGACAAGGCAAAAAAGTGTAATTTTTTCTCCGGAAACTTCTAAAGGTTTCCTCACAGGTGTTCACTTCTCTTCGGTTTGAAAAGTTTCGAAATTGCCGTGGAAAACGGAAACAAGCGTATTTAAGCCGCCTGCTCAAAATGGCAACATAAAACAAACGGAGAGAATCTTTGTTTCCAAAAGCGAACACAAAAGGAAGAGCATTTAGTGTTCGCTTTTCTCTCTTTCCGTCGTCTTTTCCCTATCCGAAAACGACAAAATAACAAAAAAAAATGGCGAAAAGAAAGGGATGGAAAAGTGAGAAGATGCGAGTCATATAGGAGAGGAGAGGCGCGCAGGAATTGGTTCCCTGCGCGCGCTCCGTTTTGCAAAAAGGCACATAAATTTTCGGAATATTCAAATCGATTCTTTGAAATTCAAAATCCTTGTAGTAGTCGTGAAACTTTTCGAAATTGTTGTGAAGAAGTCGAAAATGAATAGTGACCGGAAAAAGCGAGAGAAAGGGCGGATTTTGGAGAGTGAAAGAGAGAACACAGAAGACCAAAACAATTTTGGCGCGCGGGCAGAAATTGAGTCATTATTGAATGCGACAATTCAGTGGGTTTGTACAAATTAAATATTGGTCTTCTATACGTATGGAACAACACTCTCCCCCTTTTAAATATTGTGAAACTGAAATATTGTGTGTACAAGTTCCTTTTAGCAGAAAAATGAAGAAAACTTATCGCTCAGACAATTTCTCAAAACATTGCTAAGAATGACTCAATTTAACAGGTTTCAGTGTGTCTAATCAAACACTTCTATCGGTCACAGTTCACTATCAAGAATCATAGAAAGAAACCAACAAAATAAAATGACCGTATCTATTTAGAGACCACTTATTTTCTGCCTCTTTCAAAATCTGTTTTCCGTTGATTGTTCCTATTTGAGTCATGTGATATGAAAAAAAAAACAAAGGGGAAGTTTGAGGGGTGTACATAGACAAACATTGTTGACGACTACTACAGAACAAAAAAGAGCAGTGATTCAAAGTAAACATCATATATAAAACCTTCTTCGCTCCTTTGCTCGCCTCGTTACGCTCGATGATCACGAATCCGTCGTCCTGTTGTGACCCGGCCTTCTGAATAGAATAAGCACATCACCTCACAATTCATGCATTTTCGTTTACAATATCAAGTCTTTGTCATCATCACCAACAACAAAATACATGGAACGAAATTATTATAGACACCTGTTCTTCTGCATTTCCACTGTTTTCTGATAGTATCACTGAAGAAGCGCCGAAAATCATGGTCATGGTTCTCTGACTCTGATTCTGGATTCTTCTCTATTAACTCAGTGGGAATAGTCAAATATAGAAGAAAAGAAGGAAATTTGAGAATCTTTACCCCCGATCCAGTTACCAAATTCCAAAAAGAGAAGAAAAGAAAAGCAAAGTGCGGGGACTGCAGAACCGCCCAATTTTATAATTTTACACGCTTCGGGAACTTATGGACGGGTTCTCGGAAGAGAACGGAAAATGGACAGGTTCGGATTCTGGCAATCTTCTTTTATAAAAGTAACGTACTGCGAAAAAAACCTATTTGTTGGTTTTTCCCTTTTTCCTTTTCCACCCCATCTTTCATGTGTGCATTTGGAGGAAAAAACTTAGAAAAGGATGGAGAAAAGAACAAAAAATGCAGCCAATAAAATTTGATGGTTTCTCTAGAAGATGATGGAAATATGCGGAAAGGGGAATGATGCAGTTTTTATAAAGTTTTAAAATTTTTTGAAGGAACAAAAATTCAATATTTGTAAGGAGCAAATAACGAATATTGAAAAATGGAATGCATACTCCAGAACTTTTGTATACAGTAGGCTATATTATTAAAAATCAGGAATAGAAGAACAGATCCTAATTTCATTCCATGGATTTCCTTCCATCACACCGATATATTCTTTCCAAACATTAGCCAATAAAAAAAAACTAAAAACTCACCATATCATCTTCAGCAGTAAGACTTCCGAACACCGACTTTTGCATTGGATCCTCAACAGAAGTACCGTAGTCATCGAGACTCTCATGGTCGACCTTCTCGAATCCACTGGAATCAATAGATCCCTCAGCGGATGGACGATCCTCTTGTTGCTGCTGCTGTTGGAGCTTCTCCAGATATTGAGCAGTATTCTCAAACCCGACTGGCGGAGCGTTTGGCGACAAATCGGATGGAGAATCCATTGATAAATTGGTGACTAAAAGTTCTTTGACAGATGGATCGAGGAATTGGGAAACCTGAAATTTTAGGAATTGAAAACCAGAGAAAGAGGTTTAGAGAAAGGAAACGAACAGAAGATTGGAAAGGAAGCAAATCTTGGCGTATATTCTCAATGGCAGTTCGAAACTTTTGACGGTCTCCAAATGAGGAGATTGAGGAGAAAGAGTCGCGACGGATAGATGGATCGTCGACTGGAATTTAGATGAGAAAGGGATGTGAGAAAGAACGAAAAAAATGAAGAAGCACGGCAGAACAATTTTCAAGATGATGAAAAAAAAAAGAAATTCAAGTGTTAAGAAAATGGTTCAGAATGGGAAAGAAAACGAAAAAAAGTTAGAAAGTTATGTGTTAACTTTGAATCACTCATTTAGGTCAATAGTTGTCTTAAATTCAATAATTAAACACTATCGCTTACTGGAAGTATTGAATCTCTGAATGGTTCGTTCACTCAAATCCCCAATCGAATCCAAGCATTCACTTCCATCCTCTTCTTCATTTGCCACGTACTCCATTGATTTTCCAGGACCCAGAATTTTGGTTTCGGCTAGTACAGTATTGATTTTTGCCTCTTCCTTCTCTTCTGAAGGCGTTGCATCAGTAGTCACGGTAACCACATGGACAGTGTCGTCTTGCTTCTCCTGGGGAGAATGTGGAACCGATTGCATATCCATCATCGGAACATGCTCGTATTCCTCAAGAGTGTTCGGGGAAAGAGGTGAAAGTGCATCCACATCACCTTTTTCAGAAGGCTTTGGTTCAGATGAAGTGATTACTGTAAGTGGTCTCTCCAGAGATTCAACCAATTCCTTCTGCTGTTCTTCTGAATAGCTTCTGCCTAACTTGATATTCAACGGACCAAATCGGTTTTTAGGAGATTTCGGTTGTTCGATGGGTTTTGCAGATTCCACCTTTGGCGCACGAGGTGGTCGTTGAGGAATAGGAATCATTTGAGTGGGTTCTGATTCTACTGGAATGTCCCTTTTTACCGGTACCTCTCCATTTATCTGCTCTGGTTCTGGCGTCTTCTCCTCATCTTCGAATGGAAGTTTCAAATCTGCCAAAGGTTCCGGAACTGGACACTCGTTTTCCGATTCTTGTGGTACCATTTCACTCAATTCGGATTCAGTGACTACCTCCACCTCACCCACTTCTTTTATCGCATCAGCAATAATCCATTCTACCATTTCTTCCAAATACTTGGTAGCTGGTTCCATCAAAGGAATCGGGACATGGATCACACTGGGATCGTTGGAAATATCCAGCTCCATTAGTGATGGTTCAGATGGGACAACTTTTAAAATCTTCAGAGTCGATTCTTGATTTTCTTGATTTGGAACGGATTCAACATCTGTTGTACATCCAACTTCTGCCACTAGAGACTTTAGAGATTGAAGCGAAATCACATCTTCATCTTTCCATTGCCGAATCGGATGGAAGTTCAGTTCGGCAACGAAATCTTCTTCCTCATCTTTAGATTCTTCTGGATTGTTGAATTCTACTTTTGAAGGTGTTTCCGTACCGAATGGAACGTAGTCGTTTCCATAATCATGGTCAGTGGTCTTATGAGGATCTGGGGACTCTTGGAGAGCCACAGTAGTTTCTGTCACTGGCTCTTCTTCATTCTGGATTTCATTAGAAACTTTTTCAAGTTTCGCGGCTGATTCTTCCTCGGTTTCCGGCACAGCAACAGGCTGAGATTCCGTTTCCACTTCTACAGTAGCGACTTGCAATGCACTTTGATCGGACATATCGTCTTTGGATTCTTCTAAATGTTGGAATCTCTTCTCCTCTTGAGATTCACTGGATTCAGGTACTTGTCCTTCTGTAACTTCAGCAGCTACGTTTAATGCTCCATCAATAGGAAGAATATCCACTGCCATTGCCACCAGTTCTCCAACTAAAGAAGATGTCTCTTTTTCAATCTCCTCCACAGTAGTCTCCACAACTGGCTCTTCTACTGTTCTTTTCTCTGAATCTCCTTCTGGATGCTTCTGCTTTTCCTCGTCTTCAGACTCCTGAACTTCTCCGTCAATTGGAAGTATATCCACGGCCATAGCTACCAACTCTCCCATCACAGTAGTTTGTTCTTCCGCGTTTTCTGATTGCTCAGTTTCGACTTTGGCTTCAACAACTGGTTCTTCAATCGACTCGTGAACGAAGTCTTCTGCATCAAATGAAGTTTCTAGTTGATTTTCCTGATCAACTGGCATAATGATATCAGCTGTCTCGATGATTGTATTCTCCTCGGATTGTGGTGGATCGGTAGACTCAGCAACAAAGCCTTCAGCATCGAATTCCGTTTCAAAGGATCCAACTCTTTCCACTGGTGGAATGATATCGGATGTAGAGATCAACGTTTCTACGGTTGACGGATTCTGATTTTCAGTATTCAGATGTTGTTGAGTTTCATCAAGTGGTTCATGAACTGGCAGAACGTCTTCAACCATCGAGACCAGATTGCCAAAAATAGTTTCTTTTGGCTCTTCAGTATCTACCTCTTCAGTCGGTTTGATATCGGTATCAGAAGACACTTCTGAATTGGCCGGAATCACAGTCTCCACCATTTCAGCAATTTTCTCTACGATCGATGTTAGAGCTTCAGGTTCTTCCTCTCTTCCGTCCAAATGATCTTCAGAAAGAACATCTTCAGATGGTAAAAGAGCTTCAGCTGGGAGTGTGCTCTCTACCATCGAAACAACTTTTTTCACAATAGATTCACTTTCGACTATTTCAGGATCATCCGTGTTCTCGACAAGTAGAGTTTCCTGCTGTTCAGATACTTCCTCTTCGGTCTTATTGACCAAAGCCGTTGGAAGCACATTCTCCACCATTGAGCTTAACTTTTCCATCATTGAGGCTGGTTGGGCCGGCGTTTCGGAATCTTGATCTCTATCGTCAACATGATCTTCAGAAAGAACATCTTCCGATGGAAGAACAACATTCTTTACTGCTGAAATCAGTGATTCCACAACTGATTCTTGTTTGGTAGTTTCAGAATTCATCCCATTGTCGGATTCTTCAACAGACACTGCCTCTTCAGGAATTCCTGGTTCTTCAGAAGCGTCATTTTCAGAGTGACGCGTCAAGTTGACTGGGAGCACGTCTTCGACTGGAGTTGCAGAATCTTTTAAGTGTTCGATGTGGTCTTCAGACAGAACATCTTCTGACGGAAGAACATTTGGAAATGCATCTTCTACTACTGAAGCCAGCTTTTCCAAAACCGACTCGTCGTCGATCTCTTTTTCGGGTTTCTCGTCAACAGGAGGAGTTTCGACTTCTTTTGAAGCAACGTCTTCAGAGAGCGTTAGATCAGCTGGGTATTCTTGATTTTCTGTGGCAGCATTTTCATTGACTGTTTGATCTGATTCTTCTTCAGTTGGAAGGTCCTGGAAGCTCTTTGAATTCCGAAGTTCTTCATACTGATTGACATATTCAGATAAAATCACGGAATCGACTGGAAGAACACTTTCCACCATAGAAGTCAACTTATCCAATATGCTTGAAGGTTCGGCAGTTTCTGATTCTTGCCGTGGAGTGTCAGCGACGTCTTCGGAAAGTTGGCTTGGTGGTCCCTGAGCTTCGCTTTCAGAACCAACGTTCTCAGATGGAATGACACTTTCCATAATTGATGTTAACTTATCCAGGATGCTTAGAGATTCTGAAGGGGCAGTTTCTGATTCTTGAGTTTCAGCGACGTCTTCTTTTGCATCTGTTGATGGCTCCTCTGTAAGTTCCTTTTCATGAGCTTGGCTTTCAGAATTAATGTGTCCATATGGAATAACACTTTCCATCATGGAAGTTAACTTATCCAGAATACTTGAAGGTTCAGAAGTAGCATTTTCTGATTCTTGATGTGGGCTATCACCGACATCTTTTTTTGCATCAGCCTGTTGAGTTAGTGGTTCCTCTGTCTCTTCCTCTCCTTGGCTTTCAGAATTAACGTGAAGAACGTCTTCAGAAGGGAGGGCAGCGTCAGTAGGAAGAACATTTTCTACAATAGAGACTAGCTTCTCCATAAGACTTTCTTCTGCATATTTTTCATTTGTGGAGGGAGCCTGAGCTGACGTTGAAGGCGGAGTACCTTCATTCGTCTTTTCTTGTACATCTTCTTCCACTGTTTGAGAATCAGTGACAGATTCTTCCACTTCTGGCGGAAGTTCATTGTACACTACTTCTTCTGGAAGACCATCAGTAGCTACAGGAGTTTCCGATGTTACTTCAGAAGTTGGAACGGGATCATCAGCTGCAGTATCAACGACCACAGTTTTGATACCAACAACGTCTTCACTGTTCAGAGCATCATTCAGCTCCTTTTGAATCACTTCAGCAACTTCAGATTCTTGAGTAGTTTCTTCCGATAACAAGATTGGTAGTGAATCAGCCACTTCCTCTTTCTTCAAGTCGAGCATCTCGTCACCAGCATCTTCCAGTCCCACAACAACTTGCTCTAGTTTTGTCGCAACACAGGAAGGGTTTTCAGTTTTCTCGATTTCAGCGACAATGCCTTCAGTAGCAGACAATTCTGTTGTGGTTCCAGCAACATCTTCACTGTTCAACGCGTCTTCAACTTCCGATTGCTTCAATCGAGGAATTTCTGGTGTTTCAACTTCTCCTGACTCTTCGAGAGCTACAACGGGCTGATCTGCTTTCCCGTCATCTGAAGGTCCACCAACGATTGTCTCTACCACCTCAGGAATAACTGATGTTGATGTTGTAACGAAGTCTTCAGTGTTCAGAGCTTCCTGGATTTCTTCCTTTTCCAAGTCAACCACTGGAGCAATTTCCACGTCACTACATTCTTCGAGTCCAAAAGCTGGCTGGTCTTCCGAGATGACATCATCAGCCACAAGAGATCCTGTCTTGATTCCAACGACGTCCTCACTATTTAAGGCGTCTTTCACTTCCGATTTATTTAAGACAGGAAGAACTTGTGTTTCAGCGTCCCCACCATCTTCAAGACCAATTGGAGCAGCTTCAACATCACCACATTTTTCGAGATCAAGTACTGATTGATTTTCGTCCGATGGTCGGGCTTCAAAAATTTCTGCTGGAATAGTAGGAATTTCCGTTTTGATTCCAACAACGTCTTCGCTGTTCAAAGCGTCTTCAACTTCCAATTTGGTCAATTGAGGAATTTCTGGTGTTTCAACTTCTCCTGACTCTTCGAGAGCTACAACGGGCTGATCTGCTTTCCCGTCATCTGAAGGTCCACCAACGATTGTCTCTACCACCTCAGGAATAACTGATGTTGATGTTGTAACGAAGTCTTCAGTGTTCAGAGCTTCCTGGATTTCTTCCTTTTCCATGTCAACCACTGGAGCAATTTCCACGTCACCACATTCTTTGAGACCTAGAACTGGCTGGTCTTCTGGGATGACATCATCAACCACAGGAAATCCTGTCTTGATCCCAACGACGTCCTCACTATTTAAGGCGTCTTTCACTTCCGATTGATTTAAGACAGGAAGAACATGTGTTTCAGCGTCCCCACCATCTTCGAGACCAATTGGAGCAGCTTCAACATCACCACATTCCTCGAGTCCAAGAACTGACTGATTTACGTCAGATGGTGAAGCTTCCGTTTTTGGGGTGGCAGCGAAAACCAAAGTTTCTGTTGGAATAGAAGGAAGTTCCGTTTTGATACCAATGACGTCTTCACCATTCAAGGCTTCTTCCCCTTCCGATTGGTTCAACTGAGGAATTTCTGGTCTTCCAACTTCTCCAGGATCTTCGAGACCCACGAATGGCTCATTTGTTTTCCCGTCATCTGAAGATCCATTGTCTTTTGTCTCCACGACCACAGGAAGAACTGATGTTGTAACGACGTCTTCAGAATTCAGAGCTTCCTCGATTTCTTCCTTCTTCAAGTCAACCACTGGAGCAATTTCCACGTCCCCACATTCTTCAAGCCCTAGAACTGGTTGGTCTTCTGAGATGTTACCATCGGCAATAGGCAACTCTGTTTTGACTCCAACAACGTCTTCACTGTTTAAAGCGTCTTCCACTTCAGATTGGTTCAATGCAAGGACCTCTGGAGTTTCAATATTTCCCCCATCTTCAAGGCCAATTGGAGCAACTTCCACCTGTTGAGTTTCTTCCACACCATCCGAAGATTTATTGATTTCTGAAGAATCGAAAACGATTTCGGTTTCTGGAGTATCTTCAGTTTTTGAAGCGTCAGCAGGGACTGGCTCTTTGGGGAAAACGTCTTCGTTTCGCAATGCATTCAATGTTCGATCAACATCAGGAACACCTTCGGGAACGTCTTCCAATTGCGCAAAGTCAGAAGTTTCCTGCATTGCGAGGTTTTGAACAACATTTTGTGTTGTTTCTAATGGTGTAGTTGTCTTCAGATTATCTACAGGCGAAATCTCGAATCTTGTTTCTGGGAAATCAGTAGCACTAGCAGCACCGGCATCTCCGACATTTTCAGAAATAAAATCTGGAGCCGATTCAACTTGCTTGAGAGTCTCACCTTCCACATCTTCCGGAGACAGAGAATCATGAATAACCTGCAGTTGCTCAGCAGCATTTTTCAAAACCTCAGAAACCGAAACATCTCGAACGTCATCTTGTTGATCATCATTGTATTCTGGAACAGGAGTTTCCGGAGTCTCCACAGGTTTGACGAACGCATTCTGGAATGCTTCTTCCTCATCATCAAAGCTATCAAATGTGTCGTTGGAGGTCAGTTTCACTTTCTCGATGAAATCTCTAGAACCTTCTCCTGCTCCTTGATCATCTTGAGGTCTCTCCAAGACAGTGACAACTTCAGTAGTCAATGTTTCCGTTTCAGTTTCTTCATCATTTCCAATTGGTTTGAATGTGAATTCAGTCAATGACGCTTCTTTAACCACATTATCCAATTCTTCTGCCGGCGGGACGTCTTCCAATTTTTCTCCAGAAGAATCAACACTCACGTCTTCCATCAATGGAATTGTGTAGACCAGTTCAAATCGAGTATCCGTTGGTTCTCGGAACCACAAGTCAACGTCAACGTCTTCATCTTCCTCTTCCAATTCATCCAAATTAATTGCAGCTCCCTTTGAAATCGTGTACACCAATTCCATTTCTCTGTTCATTGGCTGACGGAAAAGCAAATCAGTTTCCACGTTCTCAATGACTTCTTCATCTTCAAACACATCATCATCCATAGGTGCATTCAGAATCTCTTCGGGAAGCCGAACGTCTTCTGAATCGGTACATGAAGACCCACCGGATTCATCATTGCCAGTTTCAAGAGATTGAAGAGCAAGAGGTTGTAAAAGTTTAACTTCCGGGTCGGAATGTTCTTCTGTTGTTTGATCTGGTTTCAGTGTCGAGTGGGTGTCATCGTCTGAAAATAAGAAAGATGAGAAAAAAAATAGATATGAAAATACCGTAAAACCTGTAATAGAAGGGCCCTAACTTTTAATATGAGCCAATTTATCTCGGTCCCTGTCAATGATATTACTGTTGTCATCTGATAAGTTGTTTATCATAATATCAGAAGTGCTTGTCGGTTCACTCATTATCGATATCTCTCATAGGAACCTAGATAATTGAGCCCGAACTCGACAGGTCCTTCTATGGCAGGTTTCACGGTATACGGTAAGGGGAAATATATGATTTTGTTAAGAGAGCCGAGCGGGTCGAGTTACATATTTGCGAAATTGTTAGCGATTCTGAAAATAAATCACTCACCTCTGGAATCGATCCAGAATGTCTTGACAAATCCAAAATCAGTGATTTCCGGTGGCTTCCGGAAAAATAGATCCACATCGACTTCCTCCATATCAATTTGAGCAGTAACAATTTCAGAATCCATGGCTTGACAGATTTTTTCTTTCAAGCTCACAGAAAAATGCTCCGAGTTTTGCTTGGGACCATCAAGAGAGAGGAGTTCACCATGTGATTGTATGCCTGCGTCTCTACACTCTCCCACACTATTTCTTTTATAACAGCTGCCGTCTCACCGCAGGTGATATGCGATTCCCGTTTCTCTATCTTGCTCTTCTCGTGTGCTGCTTTGTTTTTCTTTTTGTTGTTGTCCTCTTTCTACTCTCTCGATTTTTCTTCAAATTTTTTCAGAGATTCAAGAGAGTCACACATTTCAAAAGACAATGACATGAGAGATAATAAGAGTAGGAGGAGAGAAAAGAGAATGATAAGGAGATTTTGCTCATTGGATCTCTGAACGGAAGGTATTTCAAAGTACATGGAGTTTTGTTTTTCTAGAGTTCAAAATGCGTTTCTCGAAAATTGTTGAAAAACGATTGAAAGTTTGTCAGATTTTGCTACTGTAGCAATTCCATAAAACAAGTTATATAAAGACCATCTAACCTGTGACATGAGGATTTGAGCCAATTTATCTCGGTTCCTGTGAAAGATGACAAAAATGTGTCAACTGGCAAAACACTTTTGATATTACGATAAACAATTTATCAGTTGACAGCTTTTTCATATCTTTCACATCAACCGAGAAAAATTGGTTAAAATTTCCCTTCTATCAGGGGCTCTCTTTTACAGGTGAAAGGTAATGGTCAATTTTGATCGAAGAAATCTTGTTCATGTAAACATTATCAGAAAATTTTCAACTAACAAAATGTTTATCATAAAATCAGAAAACTTTTGTCAGTTGAACACTTTTTGATATCTTTTGTAGAAAACGAGATGAAGCCCTTCTATTAAAGGTTTCTATGAACTACGAAAAAAGTTAGTAATTAAATATTCAAAGCCCTATTGTTTCTATCAGAAGCGAACAATATTCTGATCGGTAAGGTTTGCATCAAATACTCCAGAAAAAAGAGCTCCACTGGGTAAAAATAATAATTGTTGCCAATTTTTCATGTTATCAGACTTTTTTCTCTGTTCATGGATAGAGTCGGGATCTTAAACAAACAAACGAACTCGTTATCTGATTATTATTATTTTTGTGTCATCATCATCATCTACAGTTTTTTCTCCTCCTTTTTCCTATTTTTCCCTCTCATTGTGTGATGTTTATAGTTGAAAAGGACGTTTGATACGCAGACAATTAGAACATTTAGCGGCACGTGGTGAAGGATTTTTCGTCTGTTCAGATCCCAGTCGGGATCATAAATCACTTTGGGTGTGGGTCAGAGACTTGGAAGCAGCTCTGATGACGTGTGGGGGGGGGGGGGGGGAAATGAAGATAAGAAAGACAAAGAAGAGGTTAGATTTCAAAATTACTACTCGGGTTACACAAAACTATGATTTTGAATGAGAAAAAAATTCAGAAAAAAACGGAAAAGAAAAGATTGAAGACTTTGCCATTAGAAGATAGATGATGAAATGAAAGTTGGAATGGTTTGCCATGTGAGGATTCTCAGAAGTGTAAAAAATGGGAGGAGAAGAAAATGAATGGGAGTGAACTTGAGAACTGGAGAAGGAACGAAATGCCATGAATTAGAAATTTTGACAAGCTATGAATATTAAGAAACTTCAGAAGCGTCTAGAAAAGAAGTTTTTGAACAAAGGCATCATTCTTATGAGATCAACCCGTAGATCTTCACTTTGAAAATTTCCGAATTAAGGACAAGCAACGGGAAAAAACCAATACGGGAAGAGGATAGGAAAACAATAATTGCGAAATTCGGGTCTACCTATTTCTATACATAAATAGGTAAACGATGAGCAATGGAAATAAGGGGAATCGAGAGGGGGACCTCTCCTCACCACACCCTCCCGAGCAAACCAGAAAAGAGCAAAACAAGCAGGACGGATAATTACCTGCCATTCGCTCACATTCACAACACGCAAATTCAGAATAGCAAGTGTGAGAATATGTGTTTCTTCAAAACTCTTTCACTCTCTTTCTCTTTCTCTCTCAATACCTTTAGTCTGAATGGCAGAAATGTGAGAGAAAGCGAAAAGTGTGTTAGTATCGAAGAGACGCAGGAAGTTTCTGCCTGTGTCTAGGGTGAATCGCCGCGTGACCGCACATTCACTCCGAACGTTTTTTTGCCTCTGGTTTTGAGGAGAAGGATCACATAAAGAGAGAAAAGAGAAAGAGAACTGTATTCTGATAAGAACAAAAAAAATAGACAAAAAGCATGTGGTACTGAAAGAAAAAAGCGAAAGTTTTCTTTCCTTTCCATCATGGACGCATGGGATGATGATGTGATGATGATACGCTGATACTAAAATTAATTGACTTTACTTTTTTTTCTCAAAGGACAGATTAGTCATATGGTGGGAGGAAGAGGAAATTTAATTGGTCACTTTTAATATTACTACATTTTTCAGAACACGATAATGACCTAAAATTTTAGGTTTTCGAAATTTCCGAATAATGAAAACTTATTTTCCCCTAAAAGCACATTTCCCATAACATGATAATCTTAACAGTTAATCCGTGAGCTATAGATTATTCACCATTCTCTCCAAATAGACGGAGAAGCCAAAAAATATGAGTCTAATGAGCTCAAAAGTGCAATATCGAAAAAATTCTTTCCCTTTTTATTAACACCTCACAGGAAACATGCTAATATAAACGACACGCTTCCTCTCCTCAAAGTTTTTATCATTTCCTCTCCTAAATTCGAATTTCCCGGTCATTCCATCGTTTCGTCATAACACCATGAGGTCAACTCGTGGCTCGAAAAGTCTCTTATCAGGATCAGGTCAGCTGACCGTCGAGAAGAAGGTGAAGAACTGATAACAAAGAATTGAAATGAACGAATGAAGGTGAAGTGAAAGTAGAAGAGGAATGTCAGCTGAACAAATGAGACACTGAAAAAATCTAGGAAAAATCACATGGAGTGTTTTATGGGGAGGATTACTGAGGGGCTCAAAAATTGGAAAATATTTTTAAATAGTAAAAATCGGAGCCGATGTATTTCGAAAGAGAGAAAATTTAGGTCGTCTTGGTAGCTCTTTTCTCTCTCTCTCTCTCTCTCTCTCTCTCTCTCTCTCTCTCTCTTTCTCTCTCTCTCTCTCTCTCTCTCTCTCTCTCCATCTCTTTGCAAGAGAAAAAGGAAGAGAGAGGTCCCTCGAAGAAGGGCACAGAGGGACAAACACGAATTGATCCATTTTGAAAGTAAGAGAGTCGAGAAGAAAGAGCAACGCTGTGCTCCCCGAGAGTCGTCGTCGTCCAAAATAAGGAGAAGAGGGACACCCCTTCTTTCCTCGTCTATTTTCCAAAAGTAGTATGTTGTGTTAGAGAGGAAAATAGAGCAAGAAATGAGGAGAATTGCACCACCGTATGAATGGGGAGGAGAAGCTTCTGCAGCAGTGACCAGACGATGGATTAGAAGCGGAATTTGAGAGGCTTTTGGGTCGCAAGCAGAATTTTCCCATTACTCGTTTTAGTTAGGAGGGCGATCCGATTGCTCACGGATTTGTCAAGCACAGAAGGCAGGGGATCGGAATACATTTTCATTGAAATTTGAATAGCAAATAGAGATGTAATAAAGAGTAAGGTAATGTTAGGGAGTATCAGAAAGGGGTGTGAAAAATACATTTTTGCAGAGGTGAGAGGATGGAAAATGTAAAATGAACCCATGTGATTTCGAAAAACGGGCGAGAGTTCCAGTAGAATGTGAAAGAAATTGCAAGCACCGCCAAAAAACAGTTCAAAACCTCTTTAAAAAAATTGAAAATAGTGAAATTAAGTTCTACCAGCCTTCTTGTTTTCCCATCAACAAAAAACGGAGGTAGAGTTTGAATTTGAAAATTACCGTAAAACCTCTAATAGAACGACACCCGGATCGTCCACTTTGAGCTTATATATCTCATTTTCTGTGAAAGATATCAAAAAGTGGCTAACTAGTAAAATGTTGCTGATATCCTGATAAACATTTTACTAGTTAATCACTTTTTGATATCTTTCAAAAGAAGTGAGATTTATAGGCTCAAAGTGGACGATCCGGGTGTCGTTCTATTAGAGGTTTTACGGTATTAAAAAACAAGAAGTTCAAGTTTGGTTCGCTTGTTATCAGTGATTGGAGCTACTAGCAAGTGATTGTTCTTTGTGGGGATGGGTTGTGATGATTCAAACAGTGGTTAGAATGAAACTTTCAAAGTGTTGGATTCATTCTTTTCTGGGTACGCGTTCCTGGTTACTGTATTTGAACATGACACCATTTACTAAATAGCCTTATTGATCTATTTCTTTTTGTCTCAACTATACGATTCTCAATTAATCATCCTTTTTGTTTCTCTTTTTCACCAATTCCTTGTTTCCGTTTCCTCATTAAAATTCACAGCCATCGTTGGTGCACTTTTCAACTCGTTTTCCATCTTCTTCTTCGAAAGACAAAAGAGCACCAGAGCAAGAATTTTCAATTTAATTTTTCATTTCGAAACACAGACAAAAAAGGCCAAAAGACGAAAAAGGGAAGAAAAAGACCCGATGGGTATGGGATAGACAGAAAAGACAATGAGAATAAATAGGGAGCATCGGATAAAGAAAAAAAAAGAAGAAGATCGAAATGGATGTCACCAGTCGCGGGTCGGATTGGTATTCACACTGCTTGGACGACGACTTGAACCGTTGGCTTGAGGGATTACGATTCTGGATTATTTTAAAATTAAAAAAAAAGGACAGGGACTTTGAGTTTAAATTTTCAGTGAATAAGTGAATAGAAAGGAGTTTAAATAGGTTCCCAGTCAAAATTCAGAGTTTCAGCCATTTCAAATGCACCGTACTGTTCATAAAAAGGTACATGGGCTTTATCGTCTTGAAAAAAAAAAGATCAGAAAGTACAGTCATTTCTTAAATTTCAGTTCTAGAATCATATACAGAAAGAATAGTACAAGTCACTTTTGGGATCAGAGACGTTCAGATTATACTAGAAATTTTTAAAATCAGTTTCTATACTACAGTGACCTTGTACAGAAATCCTTACAGGCTTATAGTCACAGTAGTAGTCAATACGATGTACAAAAACGTATTTTTAAGTCAGTCTTCGGTCATTTTGACCATTTTCAAAAATCTGCAGCTCGGTTGTCAAGTTTCCAATCAATTTTGAAAATTTCTGAGGGTGTGAAACAGACCTAGATTGAAAACTTTCCATTCGCAGATCTTCCGGAAAAGTCCTAGTTTTTCAGATATTTGCTATCTCTGAAAAACGTTTTTTGGCCCGTTTTGTACTGAATAGGTGAAAAAAAAAGTTTTTCAGAATTCGGCTAAAAAAACGCTGAAAAAAATTTGAAATTTCAAAAAAAAATCTGTGAATGCAAAGCTTTCAATCTAGGACTGTTTTACATCATCTAAAATTTTCAAACTGATCGTAAACTTGACAGCCGAGCTCCAGACTCCTGAATATGGTTGTTGGCTAAAAGTCATCTGAAAATAAGTTTTTGTATATCTTATTGACCGGTACTGTAAGTTATCATTTGAAAGGTTCTAACACAAATAGTTGGTACTCAACTGAACAGAGCTTTTTCTATTCTAAAGATTGACTTTTCATATCTACAGTAACTTCCATGTTTGCTCTCCAATTGACCAATTTTTTGCACGATCTGCTCCTCAAATTTCTACTTTGATATTCCATCACTCACCCATCTCTGTTGATTGCCAGATGACTGTTTTTTCTGGTCACCGACTGACATAATGGCATGAGAGGAACAAGAAGGAAACAGTTTGATTGAAGTTCCCTCGGAAGACTTCTTTCTCGTGATGTGCATGTCGGATCAGCAAGTGTGCCACGACTGAAAATATTGAGGTCAGGAGTTTCCTTGGTTTCTGTATCTCATGAACGTTTCAATGAATCTTTTTTTTCAAAATTTCTGTAATAGCCTCAATAGTAAAAGATCCCTCAGCTCCCCATGAAACATATCCGAATAAAGGAAATCAGTGTTGCGTGTGAATATATTGGTTTCTTCTGTGTGTATATCTAACCAGAAGAACATAATCTCATTTAGGCACACTGCATATTTAGCCGGCGGCGCCAAAAAGACGAGAATCAAGAAGGACTTGAATGAGTAAAAAGAAAAGAAAAGATAGCATCCCATGTGCTCTTACCGGAAATGATTGACGCCGAGATGTCGCTCCAAAGTTCGTCGGTAAACTACGGAGACTGATGGAGAAGGTGTGAAGCGAGATAGAACGCCTACATTGGTATGACGACGGGCGTTGGTTAGCCACGTCATGTCGTCTTTTAGTGCTCGCCGATGTCGCTGAAAATGATGGGGAAATTGAATTTCATCTACAGTAATCCGCTGCACATGTCGTTAAGATAAATTGACGTTTAACTAAATACCTAAATGTTCAAATACCTTGCTCATCCAGAAATAGAGCACCGGATTCCATACAATTGATGTCATTGCTATTACGTGGACATTCAGCAGTTTGAAATACATTTGATCCATCACCAGAATCTTATAGGCACTTTGAAAAATACCGAATCGCATTCCGAGATCACGGAACAAGTTGACTACGGATAATGGGAACCAGCATGCCATGAATACGATGACCATCAGAATCAACACGTACATCACTCGTCGCTTTCGAACTGCTGTTTGAGCCTGGAAAATGTTTCAGAGTTGAAAAATTTGATTAAAACTAAATTGTGTATAAGTTATCATTCGTCGCCGTCAACATATCTTCGGATGTTGGCACATAATTCGGAGGTTAGGACAATCATAACAACACCTAGGCTTGGGGAATAGCTTTGAAAATTCGAGTAGCTTTGAATCAAACGTAAAATTATACTTCTAACAATTCTCATGCTTCCAAGATACTTTTGTCTGAAGATATGCCCGTTTTATCA